AAATTTCGAACCCCGTTTACATTATGGGACATTAAACCACCAACACGCAGACGTAGAGTGAGGACTGAAGAAAATATTGCGGCTGTATCCGCCAGTGTTAGTGATGACCGTGAAATGTCGATTCGCCGCCGTTCGCAGCAATTGGGCCTCTGTTACTCCACTACGTGGAAAATTTTGCGAAAGAATTTGGGTGTAAAACCTTATAAGATACATTTGGTGCAAGAATTGAAGCCACACGACCTCCCACAACGTTTCCCATTTGGTGAATGGGCGCTGGCAAAGTTGGAGGAAGATCCATATTTTTATCGAAAAATTGTGTTCAGCGACGAAGCTCATTTCTGGTTTAATGGGTACGTTAACAAGCAAAATTGCCGCATCTGGAGTGAAGACCAGCCAGAAGCATTGCAAGAGCTACCAATGCATCCCGAAAAAATCACTGTTTGGTGTGGATTATGGGCCGGTGGCATCATCGGGCCGTACTTCTTCAAAGACGACAATGGCCGGAACGTAACTGTGAATGGCGAGCGCTACCGTGCGATGATAACAAACTTTTTTTTGCCCAAAATGGAAGAGCTGGACTTGGCTGACATGTGGTTTCAACAAGACGGTGCCACACGCCACAACGCACACGATACAATGGCCCTAATGAGAGGCGAGTTCGGTGAACAGTTTATCTCACGTTTGGGGCCCGTCAATTGGCCGCCTAGATCGTGTGATTTAACGCCGTTGGACTATTTCTTGTGGGGCCATGTTAAGGCTAATGTCTACATGGATAAACCAGCAACGATTGACGCACTGGAAGCCAATATTGAAGCATTTATTCATAAGATACCGGCCGATATGTTGGAGAGAGTGTGCCAAAATTGCACCTTGCGCATGGGCCATCTAAAGCGGAGCCGCGGCCAACATTTACATGAAATAATCTTTAAACATTAAATCATATCGACCGTTCTATCCACTCAAATAAAGATTTAATCGTTTTTTCAAATTTTTTGTGTTTTTTTTTTGAAAATCAAATCCTATACCTCTTAAAAAATCACCCGTTAGTTTTCTATCCTTACTTAGATCAAGTCTCAATTCGCAGACTTCAACTGATTCAAAATTCGTGCTGTCGCCTCATCTACGGTTTAAGAAAATATGACCATGTTTCACACTGTATTCGTAGTTTAAAATGGTTAGATATTAATAGTTCTTACGAGTATTTTATCTTGAAGTTCATTCATAATTTGATTATCACGGGAACTCCCGAATACCTCTTAAAAAAAATTGTTATCAGGCAATCTGTTAGAGATCGCATGCTCAGGTATGGCAAATTATTAGATATTCCACGGCACCGTACGGCTTTATTTACTCGCTCTTTTAGGTATAATTGTGTGAAATTGTATAACGTGCAACCTGATGCATTCAAAAATTTATCTCAAACTAAATTTAAAGTTTGCGTCAAGCAGCATTTGCTATCAAAAATGACTCTTCGTAGTAATTAAGTAGTAGTTTGTAGTTTAGATTAGTAACCGCCAGAAAAATTTTAATTGACGTGTTGCTGAATCTGTTTATATTTTCTATATTATGTCTTGCAATATTTTTGTTTTCCTTTGGTTAGCCACTGTATATATACATGTTAATTACATGTATTTACATTGGTTCACAACCATGAAAATAATAGGGTTAAGTGGAAGAGTATCTATAGCTAAACTTCGCCCGATACTATGTAACTTTATAAATAAAGACGATTTATTATTATTATTATGAACAGCTGATCAGCAATGGACATCATTGTCTGTTTATAATCCTTAAACATGATCTCCAACCTAACTAGCGCCACCTACTTCCTGCTTCCTGAAATACTCGTCATTGTCCGGAGAGCCATCTATACAATGACTGCTAAAATAAGTGTCATTCTAACGAATGCTGGTCGACAGATTTTATTTTGTCTTCAAAACAAAGTGACATTGTAACGTGTTCAATCCGGTTCAAAGTTGCCCAAGTTACCCGAATCCGAAATTCAGACATTTTTCGATTTTTGATATTTTGCTATTTGCTTTGTTTGAGCCGAAAGAACGAATAGGTTAAAAAATAAAGATCAGTCAGATGAGGTGAAAGATGCGAAAACGTTTGCTGTGGTATTTTACAGCTCGCTGACTTTTATCAGTTAGTCATTTATATTTTCCTACGTATTAAGCGCGATACTAGCGTTTCAAACGGCTGGTGTACAGTATTTTATACCAGCATTGATTAATGTATTCTGTCTGAAAACATCCAACCATAGCAAAACAATGAATTTAGAAATATACTTTGATAAGGGTATCTCCATGTGAAGTTCGTTAATCAATGCCTAAAGGTACCCAATTGAAAGAGACATTAGAAAGGCGCCAAAAAGTGATTGCAGCTCTTGGCGCCATCTATGGAACAGTAGCAGAACCAACCCTCTTCAAAGTAGATTTCGTAATTCATTTTGTGTTCTGATATCTCGTGGATGAGGCTAGCGTATTTCAGATCCCTTTGGACGACAGAATGCAGTATATGGTTGGGTATCAATTATATAATTAAGTCAGAGATTTTTTATTTACGATCATAACTGTCATCACATGCGCAGCATTGCATCAACAAACTACGAAACAATCGCACCTCTCAGACCATACTACAGTATACATAAATCGTGCTTCGATTTACGGCAGCTTGACATACGCAAACATCTGTGCGTGTATCGTATATTCAAACATGCCATACTCAATCGTATTTCTCAGAGCAACATTCAAATGCCATGCAAACCTAGGTGGATTAGGGCTTAAAACGAGACTGGTTTATTGGGATTACTTCAGAATATTGCAGTTAAAGAGAATAGCGATGAGTAAAGTTTTTTTTTGACATTATGTAGGTTTTTCTACAAGATGTTAACTTAGCACGTAGTTGTACGTGCTGCCTAAACGTCACGAGGCTTGTTATCAATCTTTGGCTCTGATGTGATGTAAAATCTGCTTTTGAGATGGCATTACTGGAGGTCTAGGCTGTAAGTTGTATGTGTTGATGATAATTACACTGGGTTCTTGTCTGAAATACACTTAATTGAGATTCAAAGCTATAAATTAGTTGCGCATCCACTTTTGCTAAATTTCAAAAATGAGAGAGATTAGAAATAATTATATTCACTGTACACTGACGAATTACAAGTCATATACATTCTAACAGTAATTACACACAACGCGGGCGCGGTGATGATTTCCCGTAATTCTCCTCAGTTTTTCGTAATTTATAACTTTGAACATAACCTCTCTTCTGAAAACACAACATGAATAGCCAATAGATATACTTCATTTGCAGCATATTCAGCAAATATCACTGATTTTATACACATGCAGACCAATACACATAATCATCCAGATGCGATCTTGCTATTCAACCAACTTTCTCAGAGATAAAAGCTACAGACACGGACCACTCAGCCTCACAAAACATATGCAACCAATAATGCGTGTAGTTTAGTTGAGTGATTCCTCCTTAGATGGACGTTCACAACGATCCTAGTGAGCAAACGTGGAATGACTGTTTGCTCCCTAAAAACTACCTAGTTTGCAAGATGACATCTTATAGGTTTTTTACATGATCCCCATGCGAGGCACCAAAGCATTCGTAATTCGCCATTTCTTGTACATTGGAAAAGATGAGGACTCTCTGAATATATTTTAACTGCGACCGGACGGGGAAATGTATGTACTTTTCTGGGCGTCGATACCCACTATTCAGCCATGGATTCCTATGGCGGTAAAGTAACTTTGATACCCGATGTGTATAAATGTTGAACACACCGTGGCGGCAACGGGAGCAGTCATTTAGGCAACGTTGACAAAATTTTGTTTATATCTCTTATGCGTTCGTGTCCCTGGGTGTGATATAGCTCGCGGGGTTTCGCCTTGGCCTTCGCCGCGAGTCATAACCGCCCATTATACATAAATAAATATTTTGTAAAATTCCTCATAAGGGGAATAGCTGAATCGAAAACAGAATGAACGCATTTATCATGCGTCAATCTGAAGTGATCCCAAAAACCTCAACCTTAGAAACCTCAATCGGCCTGCACTATATGTCCAGTGGATGGTGCAAATTATATTGCATTACAATATCACAGCACTACACGTATATTTCGCTAATAAAATTACGTGTACCTATTCCATCGCTCTCCATAATGCTGTTATCAGGCTAAATTAATTGTGCTATTTTGAAACGTGGGAGCTCTCGAATTGTTTTATTCCAAATTACAATAGGGCACAAAAATAATGCGATTCGCGATAATTACGTTTTAAATAAAACAGTACAATGCAATGGGTTTAACAAATGTGAATAACTTCTGACGTTATCATATAAATCGTATGTGACGTCATAAGCATTTTTTTTGATAGACTGAAATCTTTGGTTGAACCTCATTCAAAAGAATTCGTGGTTGCCAGGTTTCGGGTCGTTCACGTACTTCTCATGCGTCATATTGATCTACCACTCACCTAAAGTTTAAAAATATAATCGGATGCAGAATCTGGATTCTCTATGCGAATCTACTGTCAAAAATGGGGGTTACTAGTCGAATTTACAAACTTGACCTCTAAATGAAATATGAGGTTATTATCTCGGTCATATTTATTCATCGACAAACTCCTTTTTTACACTTTTGCCAAAACCTTTTTTCAAATAAATTCGATTTTTCTATAATTATTTTTCATTCAAACGGCTTTAAGCACATGTTTAATGATTGTTAGCATGTCTTGAGGGTTCTATCCAAGAAAACCGCCGTCCTTTATTTACTTGTATATATTAACGGTATATTAAATGAACTAATAGATAAATAAAAAAAATGTATCCTTCGTACGGATTGTAATGAATGCGTACATTTACGAAAGATGTCAGTTGTTTCTAGTCACTTGAAGTTAAAATCTCATGTGGTATATGTTTCTGTTCCCAGCACCGTTAAATTTGAGGTTTCGTATGGGGCTGAAGATTGTCTATCTTTTCAGGTGCAGTTGAGGAATTCTGGATACGCGGATTCTCAGATCGTGGAAGTCTGTCAGGCGATAACCGTGCTTGTCAAATACGGGATTATCGGAATAGGTTTAGGTAATGCACATGCTGATTAATTTGCCTTAATATTTTTCAAACAGCTTGAAGATTATCTAACCGCTTGAACGGTTTACTGGCGAAAATGATAAATAATGTGGATATGGTTTCAAAATAAATATGAAAAAGTACAATTTAAATGCGATTAAACAAAATCAAACATCATTTCACATAACACCTATACATCTCACATGTAACACGTTCTCCATACATACACTTGCACACATGTAAAAATTTGCTTTCATTGATCATAATATCAATACAATACCAAACCATCAAAACATCGTGGAAAATATTCCTATCCACATTATTATTCATTTTCTACTTCATTGACTGTGTTTTCATTATCATTAGATTGTGTTCCAATTGCATATGCACTGCAATAAGTCATAATGCCGCTACATATACAAAGTTCCAATGTTTGCTTGCTTTTATATTATGACGGTGTTCGAAAATTTAACAGTTACAGCCTGGTACCATTGTTCTTGTCATTTCTGTTGTATGTTTAATTGCAGTTTTACATGCTTACGTTATAACTCATTTTTCTTTTTGTATTGCTGCATTGTTGAAATAATACAGTTATAGTTTGATATTTAGTTCGTTGACCAGTTCGTAGAATGTTTGATTTCTTTTCTCATATTGATTCAGTTCATCTCCACTTAAGTTATCTACAAAGTAACTTGGAATTATCGAGCACCCCATCATGAAACATTCGTTCTACATTAACCACACTAGCCCTATTTTTGCACTCGACGTTTCTGTATGCTTTGTATTTGTATTAATAAACTTGAAAAAATATCTAATTTTTTATTAATTTCATTACTTATATCTGCAAAACTTTATTATACCAGGTACATTACAGGACGGTTATTCTACCAAAAGCTTTCCTGATCCTTGAATCCTTGGTTAAATTTTAATGACCAGCTGGGAATTGAGGTTGAACATAGCTAAACAATGTTTAAAATGTATCTATCCTTTTTTACAATCACAAAAAAATGTTTTTGAATGAAACATATTACGTAATATATTTTTCATTTAATTAGAAATACTTTGAAAAATATAAACTTCTCCTTGATTTTGACATACAACGTTAAATGACATTATGTAATAGTACTTCTTCAGCGACGCTCGTATTCCTTTTTCCCATTATCCCTTTACTCATTTTCCTTTTTTCTTTATTTCCTGTTTACTTAACTGCCTAGGCTACCATTTTTTAGGATTTGAAATGGTACGAGAAATGACCAAATCAAATTTATAATTTGAAAAATCTAAAATCCGGTATCGTCGGATTCGAATCGCAATTCACTGGTAAACTAAAGGAAGTTATAACTCTACATCAACATCAAAAAATATGTGCGGCATCTCGAAACTCACTGTGGACACCTAATACCAAACAAATATCACATTGCGACGACATCGCAAATACGTGCGTTTAGAGAACGTCAGCTATCCGACAACGCTGAAAAGCTTTGTCAGTGTTCATATGCTTCAATGGCTGTTCACACAAACGCTTTTCCTGAATGCACACAATGTCAGCTTCACTATAACGTTTCAAATTTTGCTTATTTGTACTTGAAAATGCATGTGGTTTCGAATATTTGCCAAAATAGACGCGAACCATAGGAGAGCTAACTACGAAGATAAGTTTAGGTTGTCATATTTCCTTGGAAAAGTTCGTTAAACAGTCGTTTGAATAAATGAATTAAATGCCGCAAAATATTTTTTATACCAAATTTTAATTACGCGAAATTTAAGATGAGCATCTAATACGTCGATAGTTATGCCTCGCAGGGATTGGGGATTAGCTTACAGATTATAACATTAAACACCATCTTCATCCTAATATCGCTTTCATTACTACTGCACATCATCTTTACCATGTCATCATCACCACCACCATCATCATCATCATCACCGTTATCATCATCGTGTCATTATCATCATCATCACCGTCTTCGTTATCAATGTTATAATCGGATTCATGGATATCATACTAACAGATGTAATACATACAGGTAAGTATTTGGGCGATTGACAATCACTTTCATATCGGGTAGATTTAGGGTTTGAATTATACTTCGTATTAGGGGCCAAAAAAGGCGAACATGTAAATTGTATTTTCTCTTCAAATCCCATTTAAGCCTTTAAGCGTATTTTTGAATAATGGTCAGGAGTTGAAATAATTTAAACATTGCATCATCCACGGTAATAAAATATAAGCAGTGGATTAGTTACAATACACCACCAAAATTAAACCATTCCAATAGAAACAAAGCAGGAGAATAATATATAAAATTGTCCATACTCATACGAGTTGGTTGTTTGATTAATAAAAAAATATAAGGTATTTAATTTTATTACAGATTCTAGCAGTTCAACATTCAGTTACTTCATTACATTAATATGATTACACTAAATATACAATTTCTCTGAATACAGAATATTTTTGTAATGAACTGGAAATCAAACTTGTGTTTAATGGACTTATTTTTTTAGTTAGTTCAATTATTTGTTAAAAATTCATAATCCGAAAATACAAAAAAAAAATTCAAAATATTCTTATTGACTCCAGTTCCGTTTGTGGAAAATTTTGTGAGAAAAATAGGTAGGCTTTATGGATACAGTAGAAATACGGAGCCATTTAAATATTTAATTCACCATTAAATAAATGTATTACTATTTTTTTAACTAGTTCAATTATTTGTTAAAAATTGATAATCCGAAAATACAAAAAAAAAACATTCAAAATATTCTTATTGACTCCAGTTCCGTTTGTGGAAAATTTTGTGAGAAAAGTAGGTAGGCTTTATGGATACAGTAGAAATACAGAGCCATTTAAATATTTACTTCACCATTAAATAAATGTATTACTAATCCATTTTACACTTTGGTGAAAGCGCGCGTACATTCTCCTTGTGTGTCTATACGTACGTCGGTCAATAGTTTTTTTGTTTTCTAGACCGGTGCATTTAAAATTTTGAACTAAGACACTTATTCATAAAGTAAACCTAAACTATAATAAAACTATTAGGAAACATGGAAAAATATCTTTGATTAATTTTCATCGTTCAATTTTTCGGCCCAACTTTCCGTCCGCCAGTTATGCGTTTTTTCGCCACGCATTGTCAATAATCATTTGACAATTTCCGGAAAGCGATACGCGTTCTGGCGTCTTAGTAAGTTCTGTTTTTTATAGATCAGTGTTTTGATGGTGCAGTAATGAAAAATACTGTGTAATTACAATTCCATTCCATATAAACATTGAAAACGGTCATGGCGTCATCATTTCATACACATCGCATTAAAACATTTCGCTCTCGAAAGGGAAAAAACCAGATTCAAAGAAATGTCAATCAAAACCTCGACCAATGGTGATGGTGACTGCGACAAAATCTGTCACTCTAGGGGACCGAGTTCATTTCATGTCATTATTTTTGTATTCGATAATCATTGTCATTACAATTTGCATCTTTCGTCCTTATACAATACCTGAATGCTTTTCTTCCTTAGAATGTGAAAAATTGTGCTCAAATCTTCCACTTAGTTTTACCCCACAGAATATAGGTCACACCGAAAAATGGAAAAGAACATCGTACACCACTGTACATGTATGTTCAAATCTCAACGTACTCAAAGACGCACCGCGTTACCAGTGGCGTACGATCCTCTTTTTCATTTTGGTACTTGACTGATAGAGAGTGGAAAGAAAATTCATGGATTTGATTGAACAAAATTTATATACTTCCCTTTTTTATCTTCAAATAAGTTATAAATAATTAATGTCCGTCCCCTTGTGTACGTAGGTTTAGGAAGCAGTCACCATGCCGGTCTACCTGTTTCGAATTACCTGAGCATGATGGATCAGACAGCTGCTGCGGCCGCAGCTACCAACGCAGCTGCCACCAATAGCGTGTTTCCTCTAGGACAGATCACTTTAGGAGAATGTCTTGGTGAGTATCCATTTTTCCGCTGAATCCGACAGTATTATCTGCCCAGCGAGAGAATGCAAGGCAAGGAAAAGAGAGGGAATAAGAGCGATGTTGTCATAATTGTGCATGAAGTATAGTTCCTGGGTGTCCAAGATAAGAATTCGGGATCTCAATACCTGTGGGAATTACGGTTTAGGTCAAATTAGGAAAAAGCTACGTTTTTTGGGTCTTATTTACCATCCGTTGAGACACTTGAGACACAAAATTGTATGATTTACTGCGGTATTTGGGAAAAATCAAAAATGTTCTGCCCGACGGTTCGTTTTCGAACTTTATTTTTTTATATGGTCCGAAAAAAGTACACCATGTACCTAATAGAATTTGTTGTACGAATGCGACGATGTATAATCTACGTAGGATGCTCCATGGGTCTGAGTCAGGTTTAAAATTATCCTATTGCTGCTCCATTTATACTCGCTGATAGTGCATCGTCTCAATAGTCACACAAATGATTTGCTTTGCACATTCGTGTGTGCAGTTGTTTTGGTTTTGTTAATAAAAGTACAATAATGTCATCGCTGATACAAATTGAATATTACGAAATCATAAAATACTCTACGAAAGGACAATTACACAACTACCGAAGCAAATCGGCGGTAAAGGGATAGGCAAAAAAGTTTTCGTTGGAATATTAGTCCTTGAAGATGATGATTATCTTGGACTCTTTCTTGAACTGAAAGGAAGTTGACGTCGTTCCTGGGAAATGATCCCACATTCTGCTAGCTTCACAAGATGTTCTTCAGTTCCTCATATCAATAAACGTTCTATCACAAAATTAAATTCGTCTTCAAAACCGTTTGACAGTTACCATTGCATGCAAGCAAACGAATGAAATATTCCGTCACATTATTAACCTATAATTTTGGTTTTTGTTTTTTAGTCTTTAGAACACATGATTTTGATACCTATTGATTTTCAAGAAAGTTCACGGCAGTTACAAAAAAATGACAGGAGGAATCAGCTGTTTTGTTAGTGCTCATACGTCTGATCAGCGTTTTTCCGCACTTTTTTTTCTGGTATGGCTCGGGAAGCGACTTTTCTATTAGTATGCAGGAGTACAGTACCTTGAAAGGTAAGAGTACCATGCCCAATGTCTCTCTGTTATTCTACTATCCTCATTGACTCATTTATCGAGACACATCGCTCTTGTAGAGCGTATAGTATTCAGTAATAGTGATGAAAGAGATGAGACCAGATAAAGCTGTCCTAAGAATGTTTGCAGATCGCAAGGGGATATTGCTATTAAATTTTAAGGACGACAACACCACTTCTGACCAGTTTCATAGAAAGAATTTAAAAAAAACATCGAGTAATTTCGCTGAGCAAAGGCGTGCGCTTATTTCATGGTTATGCGCCTGTACAATGTACAGGGTGCGTCATCTATTATTTTTTTTTCTATTTGAAAAATTAACACGCTTTTTACGAGGTGAAGTCGAATTTTTTTTATTGATAAATGAAGATTGGTTTATGCCATTTATGTATGAAAAATAACATCAGTCATGTGACCACCGCGGCTTCGTTTACAGGCCAACATCGGAACATCAAAATTTTCAATGTCTTTTCCCAGAATAATCAGGTCTATGACCGCAATTTTAGTCCGAATATTGCGCTTTAGGTCTTGAATTGTCGGGGGACCGTTCGCATACACTTTTCCTTTCAAAAATCCCCAAAGAAAATAGTCAAGTGGTGTTAAATCGCATGATCTCGGGGGCCAACTGACATCTGAATTTCGTGAAATTATGCGGTCTTGAAATTTCGTGTGCAATGAGGCGATTGTTTGGCAAGATGTGTGAGCCGTTGCTCCGTCTTGATGAAACCAAAGATCGTCGGCACCAATACGATCCAATTGTGGCCACAAAAAGTCTGTTAACATGCCACGATAACGTACTTCATTGACGGTAATAGCCTTTTCTTCGGCATCTTCAAAGAAGAATGGTCCAACGATGCCACCAGCCCATAAATCGCACCAAACAGTCACTTTTTCAGGATGGAGAGGTTATTCATGATATTGGTGTGGATTTTTAGCCCCCCAGAATCTGCAATTTTGCTTATTTACGTACCCATTGAGGTGAAAATGAGCCTCATCAGAAAAGAGCACTTTGGCCGAAAATCCGTCGTCTCTTTCCAGCATCCAATTAACAAAAACACGCCGCTTCAATTCTTGTGTTAGTTGGATTCTATGGAGGTTTAAATCAATCTGTAAAATCCGGCGTCAAGTGGTCTCTGAGGCTATGTTTTCACGAGTACGAACTGGACGAGCATGTTGGTATATTCTATGACCTTCAGCTGAACCAGTTTCCTCAAAACTATTAACAATCCAACGAATTCCAGGCTCTGTAGGGCGTCCATCTAGGCCAAAACTAGTGCGAAGTTTGCGAAAAGTATTTTTTATATTTCGACCGTTTTCATAATAAGTTGGGATAACCAAAATGCGTTGTTGTGTTGTAAACGAATCCATGACTATAAATGGCATACCTTTGACAGTTTTCATTTATACATACCACATGACTTTTGACTCACATGGTAACACATAAACTTATAGGTAAAAAAAAGTAATAGATGGCGCACCCAATACATACTGTTGGTGTCGTTCAAGTAGTTATCGGAGATCTTGGATTTGAACAGAACTGACATGGCCCCATCTGACTATTATTCATTTCCTTATTAAAAATATACACAGCATTTTGGGTCCATACATTCGGTTTATTATAAAGGCATTGTTACGAAGTCAAAGATTATTGAAAAATAAAATATCTACATTACTGTACCTATTTTTTCTTCTTATTGAAGCGAAAACTTTTGATGCACCCGACGTATAATTTAAAATATGTTCATTGAAAGCATTACATTATACGTAATAAGTAAACACAGTAACTAACTGTACTCGCTCTTGAAATGTTATCTTCAGGCACTTCTATGTCTTATATCGAAGATCATCAGGTGTAAACAAAATTCGCATGCTCATGACGAGTGACTTAGCAAAGTTACAGTAACAAGCATACATGCCGAAAATATACGTTGACGAGAAAACTTTCGAGGCGGGGAAACAGAAGTAAAAACGTATGTCTGTGAGCCAAAAACCATTAAAAGGCCTATATTACATAATATTTTACTTGAATCAACAGTCTCAAAAGAGCTTTCAATCCGGCTCGTGTAACAATGCTGTGGGGCAAACAACTGAATAGTTGCCCATCGAAATTGTCTTCATTGGCTGGTTTGAGCTACCTCTCAAGAGTGAATCATCCTCAATCTAGGAGTTAGATGACATTTTCTCATACGATACGGACGCACCTACAAGTTTCTGCGGCTGCACTCGGCGATTTCTCATCTTGCATTATTTTTCTGGGCAAATAATACTAATCATACAGATTCAGTCCCAACAAGTTTGTGTAATGTATTCATATTTCCATCTTAGCAATAATGTTCGATTTATACTAATGACGTTTTCACTCCCGAAACTTTAAACCGATCAAATGTTGTTCTGTAGACAGCTGATACTATTAGAACTTTATAAATATCAATTTTGTTGAATATGGCCTACTATTGAATAAAATATTTTAATTTTTTGTATTGAGAAAAACACATTTTTACCACCTGACAGCTCACTGATTACGGTTTCGAAATGAGACATTTTAAAGGGCTTTACTGTCATAGACACATATTGCAAAAGTCTGCAACCTGAGAACATGACACTTTCAAAGAAGTCTTTTTAACTGTGATAAAATTGAAGACGCTAGAGGTTTGATGATTGCGTAAAGTAGATTTGAGAATGCAAAATAATCTATATATTTAAACTGTGCATCAAAAATACTTATAAAAATATGAATAGTAAAAAATATCCATTATCTTGGTGAATTGATTGATTTTTGGAAGTTTAAAAATACATTTTTATAGGTACACACATCATAGATTACCTCGTACATTTGCCCTTACAACTTAATTATTTTGAGAAATATTTTTGATACGCGACTTGACGCCATTAATTGTGAACACGCCTATCGAATGCAGAGCAAGACATCATGATACCTAGGCACTTAGAGCATATTGTTTCGTTTATATGAATGTTATGCCGTATAATTTATTTGTTTTTTCAATGATGTGGGGTAACAAAATGATGTATTTTCTTTACAGGTGCAAGCTCTCCAACGCCACGTTCCTCCCTAGAACGTTACGAATCAACCTTCGACCCGTTCCGTCACCAAGCATCAGCAGCTACGGCGCCCATCTCCCTTAACAACAACAGCTTCGGCCTTGGCACCGGTGGACAACAGATGGCAGCAGTGTTGAGCAAAAGTCCCACGCCTGCCGAACTAACAGGTCCCAAGGACACCAAAAACGTCGAGATTGCAGAGGTCATTGTCGGAGCCATATTGGGTGAGTATTTGATTCATTTTATATCCGTCAGAGGGCCAGAGCAGACCGCGGACCTTTGATCTTGGCTTGTCTGGTATGGATACCCAGGTACCAAAGTTAAAAAAACAATATATCTATCAAATTTAAGCATCACGTAAGGAATTCCATACATATAACTTAGATATAGTTTTGAGAAAATTGCAGTATAAATATTGAAGTGTGTGAATTTTCCCGAACAAAAGTAACAAACTTGCATGTTTGTCACAATGTTGTCGATCAACTTATTATTTTGGAATAGAACTAGTCACCACTTCCCTCTCCTTCTCGACCACTTTTACTCATCTAGATTCATCGAAGTAAGTACATACAGCCTAATATAGTTCTGCGGCGCCTGCCTGTAACTACATGTACAAAAATGCAGAAGACCAGAAAAAAATTAAGACTGAAATCTGCACAACATCGGTCCAAGATGAAAATACATGGCAAAAAATTCAGCTGACATGTCTCTCAATGACATATTTTGCAGGACAACATTCGGTGTTTCCGGAGACTCCAGAAACCTTGTAACAGTTCGTTCACGGATATTTATCCGACTGCCACTTTAAACATAACTAAAAAATAAAATTTCCAGGTCCCGGCGGTCGTTCACTGGTGGAAATCCAGCAAATCAGCGGCGCCAATATTCAAATCTCGAAGAAGGGCATCTTTGCTCCAGGTACCCGCAACCGCATAGTCACAATCAGCGGCAATCCGCACGCAATCAACTCAGCTCAGTACCTGATCGAACAGCGAATCAACGAAGAGGAGCTGAAAAGGGCTAGGAACAACCCACCTCCCACGCCAGCTCAACTCGGCCCTTTGGCCATGCAGTAAACGGTTGCACCGCTCCACTTTCTCGAGAGGCGTGGCTAAAGACGCTCAGCTCAAATGGGGGGGTCATGGCGCCACTCTTCCTCTCAACGTATATCAACCGCCCTTTCTCTTAGGAAAAGGCGTGTCTAAGATAGCTCGACCCACATACAGTATAGAGTGGTGCTTCGCGTTTCTTCCCCCTTGTGAAGAGGCGTGTCTCATGTTGCTGTACGGCTATTTCGCTTTGCAGCAGAGCGAGCGATATCATCTCTATTGCGCCTCGGCGTATGTTACAGACGCCCTCCAAAGAAAAAGCGTGTCTTTTAGTTATTCTGATAATATTTAAATCGCGATGAGATTGCATAGTCGTACTGATGTTTTTGATGTTTATCAATGTTGTTATGAAAATGGATGTAAATGTGATAACTGCAGTACCATTTTTTGTTAAATATATAACAAAATACCGTAATTTATTCAAAGGTTTCCTGATATTTTTTTTCGCTGCACTATATGTATACGACAGAAAATATACCTTTGCAATATATAGAACCTTGCAAAAATCTTGGGAAACCTGAATCTTGCTACCTAGAAAACTTGAGACGAAAATATTGAAAATATTCAGTTTTAAAAAATACTCTAAAAGACATGCCTTTTCAATATAGTTCCAGGTACAGCAACCTTCTATATTCTTAGTTTCAGCTAATGCAGGTTTCATGCGTTACAATATACGACTTATTCAAATCACTTATATTGTTACTTTTTTGTTTTAAGTTTATAGTGTACTATGTAAGTACATTATAAGAAAATACCTCATTGATCGGTCTATAGAATCTGCATTACCTTGAACTTTTGACACACAGGATGCAGTAGAAACAATGAATTGAATATCGGAGAACAATGTGTTAATTGGCACATACTTCGTATCACAAATGAATGGGCATTTTTCTAACCAAACAACTTTTGAAAATTAAATCCTAATCTTTAATCAAAGATTATCGTGATTTATTCCACTGCATCTTGTATTCATACAGGTATTTCTCAATTTTGTGAGGTTGCCAAACAAGTATCTAAATGCCGAAGGAGTAGTAGAACTCCGAAAGCCTCATCTGTTGTTACCGTTTGTGCGTCAGGTTGAAAATTTAGGTTAGTTTTTGACCAACGCTAAAACTAACCAAAATTTTAATACCGCGTCCGATATACTAGTATAAATAATATGTGTATGTCACTGTACCAGATATGGTACAGTATAAATGTCTATTGTCCTTTAGTCATTCGTATATTTGTAATCGTTTTGAACTTGTAACTTGTAAAATATATACAGTTGTTTTGTATTAACTTGGAATTATATTTTTTTAAGTTGTGTGGTAAGTAATTTTAGAGAGAAACATTCGTTGTATAACTTGCAAATGGTGTCAGGCGAGTTTGGATTTTGACTAATATTGATTGGCTAGAATGACTGTGATATTTTTCAAACTTATTTTATTACATTGCTACATTCATCATGTATATGCGCTCATTTTTTGACAGTTTGGTCATTTCACCTTAACCATTTGCCAAAGGTTTCATGTACTCGTACTGCAGTTGATTTCTCTTCCAGTTCGTTTTATTGAATATGAAATTATTATTCAATGTCAAATTAGTTCTTTGTCTAATATGTTGAGACTTTTCAGAACACCTTGTTTGTAATCACAATTTTGGTTTTTTTGAATTCACTTTGTAAACAAACAGCTCAGTTCAGCTACATGATGGGTTAGATCACAATTTGTATCAGCACGATAAAAAACATTTAGGAAATTAATCAAAATATCAATTAAAAAGCAAAACTGCAGTACTCTGAGGCATCTCAGCTTTCTCCATTCTTTTTTAGCTAGCCCTCAAATTTCCAAACTCGCCGTGTCACCGCATGCATGCTTCACAAAGGGAAGTTACTGAATGGATCTGATTAATTAAAAAAGTGGATAGATTTAAAATTGTTGACGATTTTAAATCGAAATTGTGATGAAATCATTTGTAGTTTTCATCTCGCCACGCGTCACCTTTTTTGCTGTCTACGTCACCCATCCTGTGAGTAAGCATAATCACGCGTCTTTTGTTTTTTGTCCAGAAATCTCTTTGAAACAATTATTCTCAGTTCACAGCGGATTTCTTGAATTTAGACGGTTCATACACGAACTACTGATAGATTATTTATAGTCAAAATCACGAAAGATGATTATACGTCATACCATAAATTGTACTGAAGTAATCAATGGACGTACGTCGATGATAGAATCACGAGTCAGAAACATAATGACAACAAATGTATATTATGATTTTACGAAGTTAGGTTATTTCACTGATTATTTTTATTTTCATTTTATTTCATGGTTTTGAGTTATACCTTAATAATAATTTTAGTGGCGAGTTTTTGTTTTGAAAAAAACAGTTATGAGTAGAATACCTACCTTAAGACATGAACACCAAAGACCAAAGTATTATTGCAAAACGACATAACCTACTTTAACATAACCTAACTATTCATCTTTCAAATATGATCGATCAAGCAACATGAAAATATCGTCTATCTTCGTTTAGACAATAAAATTCTGTTTGTCTCTGTCTGACATATCAGAAACTTCATTAAATATATTCACAAATCGCTGTCGTTTACTACAGACGAAAATGATGACGTAATCGTCATCTTTCGTGATTTCGACTATATAGGGTAAACATCTTTTTGCGGTTTACTACTGAGTAAAGGCATCACTTTTGTAAGACATCATAATTCTTCAGAATTATGAAAATCAAGATCAAGAGTGATGATAGGTTTCAGAACCAATTATTTAAAATCAGTTCATATGATACAAGTAGTCAGCCAAAATTAAAGTATCTGCCCTATCTATACAAAGCCTATCTCTGATTCTCTAAGAATTTAAACTAACTAATCTAGGTGCAAGTAGATTAGGTCCATTTCAATTTTTCCTCAGGTTAAAGATCGCTAATGCTTTTCGTTAGATTTTAAAATGCATGCTGCTTATATTACTTTGTGATTGGTAATAAATGTTAGAATGTGAATTTAACATAACCTCTTGAGGGTAACTTTTAACCAGTATATGGTATTATTGTTTTGACGGAAAGGTTATGTGATATTTGCCTTCCATGGTCAAATTTCGGGAAATGAGTACCTGCGACAAACCTCATGTGTATATATGCAAGATATATTCGGCTTGATGTTACCAATCATAAAATGGTTTGGTAATATTTTACTTCAGAAAAAAATTACAAATGTGATCTGAATACAAGGTGCTTTTAAAGGATCTATTCCGATTAAAAGTTCAAAAACTCTTGACATTGTTTTTATTTGAAACTAGTGAGACTAGTAAGGCCCATGTGGCGCCAAAAAATATAGGTATAACTATATTTAGAGTAATTTTGGGAATTTAATTCATATTCTTCACACTGAAGATTTCGTTTAAGAGTTCAAACTATTAGAGCTACTTTAAACTGAAACTAGTTAGGCTGTCGTTTAAGGTAGAGGGGAAACAAGATTATAGCATTGCAACATGAAAACGAAAACTGAAAATCGATAATTTGCAAAAAAAAACTGCCAAAGCTAAAACATTGTCAATTATCGTATTCACCATTAAAATTCGTGTATAAAAATGACGTTCACCTCGAAAGAATGTTGAAACATTGTCCATGATAATTCTAGAGTCATCTCATTTCTTGCTGGCAGAGAGAGAATAACTGAAGTAAATTACTATCAAACATATTCATACGGGGATTCATCGGGATATGGTAAGCATTAATAACATTTTCGCTGTAAATGGTCATAGATAGCTATATTCTACGTTAATACACATCTTTGAAAGTATATTATATACAAAAACAGATAAATGTGACTCAAATCATTTATTGTTGTTATAGCATGTTGTTAATATTGTTAATGTTGGACAGTGACCACCGGTAAATATTTTCTATATTTTTTAAAATGCAAAAGTGTCTTTACAACCGTAAATTCAGATGGCAAAGAGTTAAACAACAGCAGGAGTGTATCAATAAGCAATTCAAGGATGAAAATTATAATGAAAATATGCCGATGGTTGCGTCGTAAGTTTAATTAAATGTTTGTGATTGCCATGTATTCATTGTATATTTAAGCATACCCAGAGTTCTAAATCAACATAGTTTCGAAAAAAATAGTAGATAATATATGTAGTTCGTTAGATCATCAAAGTTTTATCGATGTCTTGACTTCAGTGCAAAGCTGTGGCTTCATAATGCAGAAACGGGCATTATATCGGATGTTTTGGTCGGCTATTCTCCGAAATAACACAATATTGTTACAGCTTCGAAAAAAAAGTATGACATTTCTTCACGGCTTTTGGAATTTTATTTCTGAAGCGGGATGCGGTATATAAATAGCCGTACCAAAATGGCCGTTATCAATATTCTCCAGCTCAGAATTTGCTATGATAGCCATTTTATGCAAACTAGTACAAAAATGTAGCGTTGCCATCGTCTTTCCAATTCGTCTTGTAGTCAAAAACAGTTTGCATGGCGGGTCATATTTGCATTCGTTCTTTCCACTTCTTCGCTGGGTTCATTTTTTCTTTTCTCGTCCATTTTATGTTGAGGCGTACAAACTGCATCTCAAAACATTAGATCCAGTGGATTCTTAAATGTTTTTAGGTTAAGCTTGGTTCGCTCTACATGTAAAAATTTTCGCGTTCATACGCTTGCTTCTTGATTTGACTTGGCCACTTCTTGCATAATATTCGTTTTTGGCTATTAACTGGATATATTGCGTAAGAGATATACATATATTGGAATAAGAAAAATCCATTCCTTTATCATGTTTAACCTATTGAACATAAAATATATTTTTAAATATGCATCGCGCATCAGTCCTATTCAGTTATTAGCTAAAATAGTGAGCACAACAGTAGAAATGGATGATTTCTAGACATTCCATGTGTACAGAATATTGTATCATATAGAGTTTATTTTTATCACTTGTATTGTATAGTTAAGTTTTTTTTAAGTTTGAGATTATATTTGTCCAACCTGTTAAAAATATTTCGAATTTCTCGAAATACTTCCACAAATACTTATTTACATTTACTTGCATTCAATTGGAATGTTAAGAGTGAGATTAGAGATTCCATCAATTGAATGATCAACGAAATTAGAAACATAACTTGAACATCCACACATAATCCGCATACCTAAACTCATTTTTAATAAAATCACACAAAAAATTCACAATATAATTACTGAAATTACCCTAACTCTCAAATTTTTAAAACACGTATATGAACGCTGACAATATTCCATTACACTTCCAGCAATTTTACACAAAACGCCTATTCATGATTTTCATGTAAAGTTTGCAACTTGGTGAGGTATCTGTGATAAGGTAAACTATGCATAGAGTACAATAATTGAAGTATTAATTACGTGAAAGATGAGCCTTATATTTTTTTAATACACGTTTGGGCAACAAATATCAAGATACAAAATTAATGGAATTATCCATATTAACAAATTGAATAAAAATAACTATTAATAAAACATATTGGAGTATTGTTAAAAACGATTTCTAATTTTAGTAATATCCACGCCTATATTTTGTTGCCTGAACTTATAAATAGCACACGTTTTGTAAGAAGTGGCCAAAAATCTTTTGCCCATATATATATATAACTCATCAATTATATTTTTATAAAAGTAATGTTGCTGTGATATTCACATCATTTGAGTCACTGTCATCATTATTTACGAAGGTACATATTTTATTTTTAATTTTGTTGTGCAATATACCGATGGATGTAATTCTGGTCCAATTTGCGTCCTCCATATTGATTTTCTGTGACTACGTTTTTTATCCAATATTGAAGCAGCTAAAAGCAACAGTGCCTAACATCCAGCTCTTAACAATCTACTTGACAAGAGCCTAACTAGATTACTGGGATTCGTTATGAACGCAGGAACAGAAACAACAAATATGGACAATGTTGAATTGGAGCAAAAATAAATTTTGCTAATCTTCTAACTTTTAAGGTGATGGCATATTGTTCTATAGTACTAAGTCGTTGTCGCAGTACATTAGAATTCTGCGATTGTTTCATAATACATTCATAGTCATTAACATAGGACGTTTTTTGAAAAATTAGGCCAGTTTGGGATTGACAGGTGATTTTTTTGTGTCGCAACGGAGTTCGCAGACGATCAGGTTGTTGGGATTTTAGAATGTAGGACATATGCCAATGTTAAGTTTCAAATAGGTACATCATTTGGAAGGAATCGGGCTCTCCTCGTAGCAAGCAGGTTCTGTGATATTGTTAAAACGCAAAATGCTTCTTCAATGGGCCATTCGTAGCATACCTATGCAAGAAATCTGTCAGTGTCACTAGGAAATACTCAACTCCTAAGGATCAGTGTTTATAAGGGGTGTTTTCGACCCTGTACAAAATTCAAATTTTAAGTTAAAATCCACGAAATTCTTGCATTCAAATTATTCAGAATATGTTTATTTTATAGTTCAATCAACATTTTGCTTCTTATTTTATTAGTTTATTCCTCTTTAAAAGCCCGTGTTTCAAAATTTTTGTAGTTTTGGCCAAAATTCAACTTGCTATGTTTAAATGAGCGTATAGTCGTAACACTTCCTACGTAAAATCTAAAAACAAAGACAATTATAGTGAGATGAGACTGAGTTTTGTTTTAATTGTTAGTGCAGTGCCGCTTTAGTTTCATTTTAATATATGTTTTATTATAGATTTGGAGTAGCAAGTGTTACGTCCATGCTTCCATATAAAAATAGCAAGTAAAATATTCTCAAATGGGTGATTTTTAGACAAAAAAAAAACAATCAGGTACAGAAACAAAAAAGAAACACTGATGAAATTTCTTAAATGCTCTAATTCAAACAAAAACAAACACTTTATAGACCCCGATCCTTTAAAATAGCATGAAAAAGTAGTAAGAGACACGGCATAACATGCTTATTTGAATTTGAAACCAAATATTTCACAGTGAAAGTGCGACAGTACCAGATTTTAGTCAGCTGTCGCCACGCTAGTGGTTTCTTTTAGTGATACAGTCAAGTCACAGAAAATCTGCATAATTGTAATTATGTATGTTTTACTGACCAATACTAGCTTGCTATGAACGAGTGCTTCAATACATTATTTAAGTTTATAATTTAAAGTGCAGGGTGGACTTCTTGGATATCAATCTACGATTCCTTAAATAGAGCTTCAGATTTCTTTGCAGTGGAAGTTTCGCTGACACAATGAGAACATTCCGAGAAAAAGTAAATCAAAATGTTTATTCACCCCCAGAATAATCGGCTCTTAGCAATTGGGATCCACCCTTAAGATCTTAGATATGATATTTTAACCTAAACACTTCAAAATGCATGCTTTTTAAGGTAATTTATTTTGGTTAAAAATAATAATCGAAGGGCAGTTGTTTGAATAATAGGCTTGTAATGCACGTAATCACTCAAGGGCCTATATATAACATATATTTAGAAAATGTTGAAGACAGTATAACTTATAGCATCTAGCAATATTGAAGTATATTATTAACATCAACTAGGTTGTAATAATCCAGTACACTGCTATTAGAACAAAACACTGGTGCTCATTTTGAAAATGATTTTTAAAATTGAGCTACATTTCTGATCCATAAACGTGGTGTAACAAAAATATTCAGTGGGATACTTGTAAAGAATATAATATCTAAAGTCGCATCAAATATAATTTCTCAAAAATATATTATAATAGATGTCAGTGAATTTGACAGAAGAACTAGAAACACCAAATCTCCCAAAATATCTATTTTCAAACTGATATTTTAATACGTTATGGGTGACAAAATCATGTAAATTCATGTATTCATCATATCGCCTTGATGATGCCGACTTTTTGTATGATATTCGCCTCTCCCAAATCTACTGGATTACCTTGTAACCTTTTAAAAACTGTGCACCTTCTGATGAATCATCCATAACACACAGTATCGAAACATCTTTTATTTATATTTTATTTTGTTGCTAAAAATTCCACTATTGCCAATACTTGTAATGCGAGTCGTCAATGACATATTATGCTCCTGTGCCGCTTTGATTTCTTCCTCCCATTGATTTACCATTATTTTTAGTTCGCATTGTTTAGATTTTATCACATAGATATTATTGTTAAACGTAATATATTTCAATAAATCCATAGTGCCATATGTACGTATTATTCATATATCATCATACCCATACTCCATCCATCCATAACCATTCGATGACTTTGGGTTGACTGATGTTCATATAACAAGGGAGACTGATCGTACTTAGGAAATTAAGGAAACTAACTCCAATTGATAGAGAGAGCATTTCGACGTTTTTGTATTAAATGCTCTAGGTAATTCGACTGTCTTCACTAGATGTAGGAATCGTTCGTAAAAATCTAATAATGATGCTTCAATTTTCTTCCATGTTTAAAACCCTCGACTATCAAAAATACGTCCCAGAGAATATTAAGAATTTACAAACTAAATTAAAAATACACATTTCAGCATACGTTTTTTTTTAAGGATTTTATTTTTCTAATACTTTTCTACTTTGGTCCTTATTTGCATTTGTTTAGTCTTTGTATAATTTTTTTGCTTTAGGTTAATATAATGATATAATAAATGGATCTTACTTCGTGTAATAGTATACTTATATTCGAATTTCCTTCAACATTTAATTATTGGCAAATATCCTCTATTAATTGGCATTCGCCAACCTAAAATCATCGATGACGTCATCACGCTAAACCACCTAACATCTCTCTTCTATACAAAGCACATTATGTGTCTTATTTTAGTATGTTAAATTATGTAGTGTCAAAAGACGATCCAGTTGTTATTGTTGTTTTTTTGTATGGAAATAAAGTTTTTTAAATTCTTATTTTTTGAGAAATAGAAAATTTTTATGAAAATTAAAACCTTTTCAAAATGGGCGTTTCGTTTCATTCTAAATTTTCATACCAATTCGGCATTTATGTAGTGATTCAACCACACAATTCATATTTTGTTTTAGTTGTAAATTGGTTACCTATTTGTAAACGGACATTGATAATTTGACAGAATCCGTATAGGGCACAATATGAGGTAATGCTCCAGAGGACTTAAAAAAAATAATTAGGAATGCATCTGGTTATCCAAGATGACGTTTTCTTAGAGATAAGAGAGCATTCCCTATAATAAACCTGCTTTATATTACACTGCAAAAAAAAACGTCGAGATCCGTGAGTCAGGCCTAGATACTCAATAATACACCTATACAGACGACGCTAAATCTAAAGCTTGGATCACAAAAGTTCCTAGATGTCTAAAATTGACCCTTGATCCAAAAACTATTAGGAGGAGTGAAAATTAAGGTTCTGATGCCAGCATCTGAAGCATGGTATTCCCATATATTTTTCGACACCAAATCCCACTTTCTATTCAAAAACATCCCTACATCTCCCATAACTCACTCACAATTCATAGGAATACCATATTCCAGCATCTGACATCCCAAACTCAATTTCCATCCTTCATGAGGGTAATTTCTGAGCCCGGAGGAGAATTCTAGACGTCTATGAACTTTTCTCATTCCGGAATCGGATTCAGCGTCCAAAAATACATGGGGATGCCATACCTACAAATGAGTAGTACATCCAGTAACATACTGTTAATTCCCTGTGTTAATCTTACGTTCCTACCCGCCAAGGTAGAGTAGTGGGTTTGTCTCTCAAGCCATTCGCATACCGCACCATCAGAAATTAATATTTCATCACGGTAATATTATCGGAATGCCAAAGCTCAGATAGTGGTTTGGTACTACTACAGAGGAGACTGACTTAAAAATTGAGAAAAGAAAAAGTATATACAATGATCGACTTCCGATAGATATATAGATATTTAAGTTCTAAAACAGCTGCAAAACATTTGAAATGAGGGTATATTGAAAACTAAAGACCTCGTGAGATGCCATCTCCCGACTCTCAAAAGAAAAGGCTAGGATATTTGTTTAGGGCTAATAAGTACTTAATTTTCTGCACATGACCTTCTCACTCTATACAAGGCCCAGATAAAACTTAGCATCAAGTATTGCTCACATGTTTGGGGTGCTGCCGCCCCGAATACATTATCGATGCTGTTCAGAGGAGGGTATCCGACTGATCGACGACTCTTCTCTAACACAGCATCCTAACCGAGTCGTACATTCAGAACTGGCCGATACGACCGCTCCTTTCTCCCTAGTGTGTCGATATTGTGGAACAATCTACATGAGTAGGCTTTTCCCAGTTCTTCTAACCTTAGGCAGTTCAAAAATCGGATCAACAAAGTTTCTCTAAGCAGCCGTGGTGTCCTGTCATTTAGGCTTCTGCTTGCGTGGCTGCTCGATGTGGAAAAAATCCACAAATGAAATAAGTGATCATCATCCGATATGTATTAGTTAATATTTTTGTAACAACCCCTGTATTATATGAGCTAATATGAACATTACAAAAGCTTCGCATAAAAATCTCCCACAGAGCTAAAGACCAACGATTTGCATTAAAATGAAGGGTTACGCGATTTGCAATAGAAACCACACCCCTTCCACTTGCCATATTCCCGAGCATCTCCCTTTTGTAACATTGAATGAGATTCCATTTTGCTCCTTAGTCTCGATTTGAACTAAGATTTCTCTTAATTCTGTAGTAACAGAAATTCTCAAATGAAGACGAAAGATGTCAACTTTGAAAAAATATATCTAGTATGTCATTTTGACATAAAATGGGTGCTGCTACTCCTACTGTATATGCGATTCGACTGATAAGTGACACTTCCTTAACAGACTCGGTATCAAGCCCTCACTTCGACGAGCTTCTGATGATTTGGCTTTCTTCTACCGATTCGTGAACGAACATGTCAGGTTTCTGCTTTTTATATTGGAAAACTCTGTTATGAACTGGTCAGTACGAGCGCTCTTTCGTTCCTATCATACGTTATCGAGAATGAGAAACAATCGGCCAAACCCTCATTAGGCAGTTCAAAAATTTGATCAACAATGAATTAGCTAGGTCGCCATACTTGGGTGTTTAGGCTCTTAGCGACCTGAATATCAAAAAATGGGGTCAAGTATATTGACTCTGTACGCTCCACTCAATCCTCTCATCAATAAATAATTAGATTATGATCAGTTTATTTCCAAACACACCGCCAGATCAACTATGATGATCAAACAGGCCCATACAATTTGTCCATAGTCCCCACCGATTTGACAACGATGCGATATGTTTCTCCCCGTCCAACCGACAGCACCGATCATCTGGCAACGTTGTTATGACTAACCCCGCCGCTCGCCAGACCGCGACGCAGAGGTATATCCAGAGACGATTGTGTTATTGCTTACAAGGTGAATTGTAATAGTAACTGCTGAAACGGAAGAGACAAATTAGCCCCCCTTAGAAAAAAGTGAGCTACATGTATAAAAAAAATGGATCAAGTCGATTTAAGTCTCAAATGAAATCAAAACTTGACTATAGATGTTCACTATGTTTTCCTAATATCTTATGGATCAGAAAGATCTTAAGATACAGAGAAATCCAAATATCACTGACGAGGTAATGTTTACGAGAGAGAAGCAGCCAATACGTATGTGTGATATATGTATTTCTCTGTATATCAAAGAGTTTTAACCATTAAAGTCTGCAACCCCAACCCCCAATTTTCAATATCTCTAAAAAAATCTGAAAACGGAGTGATTTTTATTTTTTGCCTGTAGCTTCGCCACCACTGGATCGATTTTCAAAACATTTAACGCTTTTCCGTTATAGAGGGGCGAAGGATTAGTAGAGAGATAGACAAACATCTCGACGGAAATGAGTGACACGGTTTTACGTTATGTACAGGGTGTCCCGCTATAGTTTTTATACGTTCTAATATAAAGTTTCACGTGAAATATCATTACCTTAGAAAAGTGCTATCAAATAAAATTGAATTTTTCAAATGGAATACCCTGTATAATTTTAGTGGAATGATAGTTGCTTCTTTTCTCAATCCAAATATATTTGGTTTATCACATTTACTATATATTCCTTAGTTTGGTCAATAATTTATTTTTTGTGTAATTTATTCATGTGTATCCGAGGTCAAACCAGTTCGCATCTAGCCGCCTATGTAATCTGGCACAGTGCTGGATACATACTTAATTATCATTAAGTGAAACATAAAAATTAAGTTTTTGACTATCTTTTTCACTAAAAGGGTGTTGCATTTAAAAAAATATAACTTTATTCGATAACACCTTTCTGAGATATTCTCCTGCATACAGGGTGTCCCGGAAGTCGATGTCAAACCGGAAATGGATAGTCCAAGTCATAATAATTATCAGAAAAATATAAAAAAGTCTAGGTCATGTACTTTCCATATTAAAGGCATTAAGAAATACGGGAAAATCCGAAAAATCTCGATTGGTTTTGAGTAAACTTTTTCTTTCACTTTTCAACTTTTGTAAATAATCTGATTTTCTAAAACGCAAAACTAATCACAATACTTCTGTGGAAAGTAGTTAACACTCGTACCTTGAGAGGGCTGATATTCTCAGATGCCCCCTGTACGAAAAGACAAGCCAAAGCCCTCGCCAAAGCTTTGCAAAAAATTCTCCCACAGATCCCAAGACGCGCCAACTGACCAAGAGTTCGCATCAGATGAAAGGGTTGCGCGATTTGCAATAAGATCCACACCCCTTTCACTTGCCATCTCCCTTTTATATTTCGCCTAACATGGGATGAGAGATTCCATTACAACAATCTGATTGAAACCGGTAAACCTGTGAAAAAACACCGGCCTTTATGCATATTTAAAAGAAACCTGTTCTAATATAAATGCGTTTCGCAAAGAAATGCCTATACACCTTGTATCAGCAAGAGGCCCGACTTATCTCTCCTTGTAGTTTGAAATGAGATGAACTAGCGTGTAGGTTAGACCTCCTGTGCGAGCGATTTTCAGTTTTGGGGCACTGGTATTTTTAGTTTTGTTTCCGAGATGGCTTCTATAATTAATAAGGTAAGAAGAATGCGTAGTTTTTCATTTTATTCATATATTTGATTCGATGGAAAACTTTGATATCGAGAAGGTTGTTAACAGAGGTATCAAGTATGTAAATATAAACTAGTTGATACTACATTGACGAGGTAGGCAATATGTTTCACAAATTTTACAGCATGATCTCATATTGAGCGTACATCGCTACAATATTTAATCTTGATAAACTGCTTTACAAACTACGCCTACTCGAACATTTTCCAGGATTTACAAGCGGTGTTTTCAGCCCTGAAAATGACACAAATTTCAAGTTGATCGCATATGATATGTTTGCATTTATATAAATATTCTAGAATGTGTGTATTTTTAACTTAATTGTTCTTTATACCCCACAGTTCGCAAATATGGCATTTATGTCCAAAATTCACCCATTTTCTAAACTTCTTTATATAAGCGCATGAGATAATCCCGTTGGACTTCAAATTTTTGCATATTTAGCATAATTTAGTTCTACAGTTTTGAGGATTTTCAGGATTTGAGTCAAGTGGAACAGCTACATGGGCTAAACTTCGTCCTTTTATAATGCAATAATTATAAATAAACACAACTATTATTATTTCCCCTTCAAAAAAAAATTTGCTATTCTGGCTCATCAAGCGGTTTTAGGAGCAGACATCCTTCTGTTCTTCAAAAAGTATGGAGGGCAAGGTACATTTTCATTCATTATCTCTTGTGGATGATCACCCCATTCCCCCAGAAAAAAAATCTGCCGGCGCCCATGGGCCTGATTCCTAGTATTTTTATAACTCTGTAACGTCAACACTGCACAGGCAGAATACATTAATCTATGATTGTAGTGAGTTTTTAAGTTTCATACCTTGTTTTTGCATGTTTTTGATATTCCAAAGCATTTAAAGGTGTAGTGGAATTCCGGAATTAAAGAACTTTTCTGAGTGTAAAATTTTACATATTTTTTGTTCATTCTGCATATTTTTGTCGCGTAAAAATTTTTCATATTTTAAAACAAACAAATCAGCAAGTGACAGACAATGAGTCAGACTACTTGACGCATTTTTTTGGAAATCACATTACCAGGAACTGATCAACATACGAACAGAAAATAGTATCATCGTTCAGTATAAAAAACGTTACAATGTGTTGGAAGTATTACTAAAAGGGTAAAAAAATGACAATTGGATCTACAGAAAAAAAGTGTTTTTAATTTTGGAGTGAGCAGTTTAATACCAATTTACGTTTATCACTGTTGAAGCTGAAGCTCTGAATAGCTCTGTCAATTTAGATTGCGATTGGAAGAATTTATTGTGGTAGGGATCTACCTATCTATCAACATTTAGTGAAATTTTTGAGATAGGTAAGCGTTTCCAGAACGTCTCATCTCGCTGAAAGGTGATATGGGGTGGCCTACGTCATCACCAGTTTTGTCTGGAGAGATCTAACGGAAAAGTTTTAAGACATCCTACTCTATTAGAGCTAAGACTAGTGAGGACGCTATTCCCCAAAAGGGTGTATTTAGGAATTGATTCTGAGAGCAAATGCTCTTGTAATGATTGAAGAGCGGAGGAGGGGGTGGGATAAGTCTAGTCAGGGGCGCACCTCTCATGACTCAGGTCAAGCAAGGGTACTTTTTACACCAAAAGACAGTAATATATACTAGTTTGTTGGAAAAAATAGCAGACTTGGCATCTAAATTCGCCCTTGATCCTCGTCGGTATACGTAAACGAGTTGTTCAGAGCATCAGGAGTAGTCTCCAACAGTGTGTTGTTACTAACCATCTTGAAGAAAGACATTATTTTCAAACCTATTAATTTCTACATCATTTCATAATCCAGGCAGCAGCGGTGGCCGCAGTAGTAGACTCTTCGGTCTCCTGATCAGTCGCCGTGCGCTGTGCGGGTTCGAGTCCCGTCCCAGGAGAAATTTTTCTCTTGGCTATGGATGTTGTGATTGTCCGTAGGTGGTAAATCGTCTCTGACTGTCGAACGCGGAGGTACCACCCGGCGGATCTCGTAGGCGGAGCCAGAATGTGTGCATGTTGCATGCACACGTGTTCCCTCGCCAGAGTCCGTGTGGCGTTCCCCCTTTCCCCTGAATCCCCCTATAGCCCCACGGTACCCAATGGGTGTTTAGGCCTTAGGCCTTCGTGGTAGTTAGAGTATAAAAAAAAAATAAATGAAAAAACTGCTCACCCCGAAATTTACCTAAACCATGTTTTACCATAGATCCAGATGACCTTTTTATGAATCTTTGAAACTGCTTAGTTGATTCTGCTCACCCTGTATACACATAAACTGTATATATGTCATATTTTTTTCTAACAATTCTTACAGCCTGTGCTATATTCGTATTGGAGAAGCTCATGTTCCTGGAGAGTTAGGATAGGTACGTATACGTATAATATTGAATTAGCATAAGACATCATACACAGAATCGACCACTGCGACAGTAACAACAGCAAGCTGTCTCTTGGAACTGTATCCCCGTTTGCATTTGACAGCCGGGTCACCACGGTGACAGCTAGATGCCGCCGATTCTAGTGCTATAGTAAATAAGGTTTATTCGCCACTGAACAAAACAAACTAGTAATGACGAGTAAACCGTATCTACTATAGCCCTGTTCGTACAGCTGCCGCCAACCTGTCAGTGATCGTGTCCAAGATCCCGCCATACAAAAAATTCCATTCATTCAGCTACGCTACAAAAAACGAAAAAAAATAACAATCGCTGAAACTTTCGACGGTTCAGGGGTTCCTGATCATTGTCATAAAAAAATTGTAGTACTTAATAAGTGGGGGTTGGGGGAACGTGATATTAAATGTTGCATCTTTGATATGTGAAACACGTTCTATTATTAAGACGCTTCTGACCCCAGTAATTACAGGAAATTTAAGTGACGAAAACAGAAAACAGGTCTGCAACTGCCGACAGTATTGAAGAATAAATTCGGATATTTATACAGTGATTATTAGGGCTCGATCGCCAATCGAAATCGGACTCTGTTATGGAAATCGGTACGCGGTACGCACCCGCAGTCATCCTTTTCTTTTTTAAAGTAGGGCCGGCGACCGTCAGAGACCAGCCCTCTGACGTTTCCTTTTAATCCCCCGTTATCTCAGGAGATAGTCCTCGTGATCGTGGGAGTCACGTTAAAACTTATAACTAAGTTTGATCAAGCTCGACCAGACAAGATGGTTATTAGACCAGCATATATGTGCAGCATGGTGTTTTCTCACTAAAAGGCACATTCGTATTGTGCATATTCTGCAGAACAGAACCTGGCGTACTGTTACCAACGCCCCATATGGTATGTATCCTTCACAGGGACCTCGACGTCCCTTACCTAAGGAACGGTTGCGTGAGTCATTAGACTACAAAGTCGAGTAAGTTTAAAATTATATTTTTTTCACACAAATTCCAAAATTAGTTTTTGAATTCCAAGCAAACATGCAAACGCAACTCACCATCACTAGAACCTAAACCTAGGAGTTTATGAATGACTTGCTTACCTGAAATTTAAAATAAAGAATAAAATGAATTTGAGAACGTAATTCTATCAGAATAAAAGAAATGGTACACTCGTTTTGTTGCATACCTTTGTAGCATTGTGTTTGAAGGGTCAGTTCCAAAGATCCCCATTTTCTTGTGAATACGTTAATCAAGCACAATTTGATAACTCCCGAATCGAAATTGTTCAACACACACCATAAATCGAATTGTTCTAAAAGTCTTGAAACATCATCACTGTGCCATCATCGAAGTTTTAAAACAAAACTCGGGAAATTACTCCATCTCCAAAGTACAAAGCCAACTGAAACCGGCAAAACAAAATGTTCCCCCTCCCACCATATACGGCACAACGTGTTTGTCACTGTTGCCAGATGTGCAAAAACTACTTAAAAATCATGCTAGAACGTCATGATTGTGGAAGAATAAATTTTTTCTACTCTCACTTAGGATAGTTTCCTACGTAAACATGTGTATAGTTGAAAGTTCATTCTTTCTCAATTTTTTTCTAAAATGGGTTTTCAACTTAGAGATTTAAGTTTGCAAATTTCAACTTAAAGTAAAATACTAATGGCAACATACTATCCTATAGCATAAAAACGAAGCCAATTCAGACTGATTTGCAAATTATAAATCATTTTTAGATTTGGAGAAAAAAAAGGATGAAATAGGTATGGAATGCTTGGGATAAAAATCTAGAGATAATACCAGGTTGAGTTAGAACACTATAGGTAGAAATTTTAATCGCCGTTAGCATTTTCTTCTTCAGCTAGTAATTACGAGGACTCTACATAAGACTTCAGGTATTTACCTATATACATACCTCAGCTGGCTGCGCTACTCAATCTTAAAACCTTTGAAATTAGTTTTATACGCCAAAAAATGTGCGAATAACGGCGACCCGGCGACACTTTTATACTATTAATACCCTTACAAAAGGGAACCTGCTTTCGCAAAAATCCTTTATGAACCTGCAGTTAAAAGCAAAAAAATCCCCTTTGACTTTTAGCCGGTTCTGGCCGAGAGGAGATTAAAGGGGTGACTGAATAAAGCAATATGCTTGTTTCGCATGTACAGTCAGTCGTTCAAGACATGTCCACAGCCTGTGTTAGTACAGTGTTATTAATAGGAAACAATCTAATATTTTCAGATGGAAAACAATTCCATGTTTTTCTAGCCAAATCAGATTCCATATCTCTCCCCAATTCTCTTCACTAACGTTTCGGCCACCGCCACCGTGGTGGTAGTTTCATTTAGTGAGAAAAACGTGGAGTTCTATTAAAGTGGGGTGTTTTATTTTTTCTTTAAGTAGTCCGAGATCCAATACACCACGAAAAATAGTCACCGCCCCCTCAAATGGAAAAGGTGGATGTTGAAATGTTATTTGTAACGGGAATCTTTTTCCTTATTTGAAAGGCCCATATTATGACAACTTGTATGGAATATGACATGTCGTGTCAAATGCATGTTTAGCATGGATTTATATACAATATAATTTGCGTTTTTAGAATATGGCCCAACCTGAGAAAATTTGCTCCACGCTCTTGAAAAATTTAACGGAGCCAGTACAGTTTCAGAGCTGGATCTAAGATGACACATGCTGCGAGCCCCGGAACCCAAGGGGCCCCCAGAACGCAGTTGTTGAGCCGCCCGAGTAAATAAAATCTTTGCTACAAAACCCAAACCCTCTCCCCCTCCACTGTTCAACTTTTCAATGGTCCCTTAAGAACTCTGTGTGCTACATGCCCCAGAGATCCTGGATGCGCCACTATACTGTGTTTGAGTATTAAGAGGTCATCCGATTTTTTTAATCAGGCTATTTTATGTACAGTTTAAAGTGGCATAAATGCTATGTCAAACCAATGAAAAACATAAAATTACAAACTCTCACTACTGCCACGGCACAATGGCCTAGAAACAAGAGGCCGATTGACTAACCGCATATTATCGTCCATAAAAATTTACTTTAGAAGTGCATTTTGAGTCATCGCGTTGGCTTTGTCCTTGGTCCTTAATGACCAAATATTGAAACATTAAGAATTGGACCTCTTGAATCCATGCCACTGAGCGACGTCACTGCAGGCAATTAATCCATGCCATATTCCATACAAATTGCTATACAAGATTTCATCTAGTAGCTCACACACAACTTGCATCATTCCATTTCAACATTAACCGTTCTTATCGGAGACAGTTTATAAAATTTGAGGTCCAATGTTAACGAACCCCTTCAAATCGATTACTTAAAAAAGCTTACTATGTGACTTGATTATCCTCCTAAAAATATATTAATGAGTACTTTCCTATAGCTCTTCAATTGAAAGAGATCCCGTATGAAGTTCGGTCAGTGTCGTTGATAAAGGCCGGTGGGGAACAGCACAGCAATGAGTACAGGTCGGTGAATCCCATGGAGCAAGTGCCAGCACTGCAGATAGATGGCGTTACACTCGTCGAGTCAATGGCTATCATGCACTATCTGGATGAAACCAGACCACAGAGGCCCCTGCTACCAAGAGACTGCATTAAGAGAGCTAAGGTACTGGAGACTTTTCTATTTGCGTTTTTGCTTTTGAGGCTTTACATACAGACTTTAGAGTGCCCGCACAGTCGAATATTTACTGGACGCAAGGCAACTCCTTCTAGCCAAAGAAGACTTGAGATCATCGCAATGCTTGCGAAACCTCCACAAGTGATACATTTGTCTGCGTTTGCTGCCGACCCGACCTAGCGTCTGTTTTTGTGCTTTTGAGCACAAATCATCAGCATTGGCGACGAACACATATGCGCTATTTGAGCTAATAGAAGTACTGAGGTGGCATGCAAAAAAACAAATAACTGAATTGTGATGCCCAACATATCCAAAACCGTTTGTATAGGCTTGCAGCTTATGACAAAAATGGCAAATCTGTGGAGTCAATATAAAATTCATATATTTTTCCATATCAGTACCTAAGAGCCAGGCTAGGTTGAGTCGATTTTTGTATAAAAAAAGTTTTATACATTTAAAGTTCATGATAATATTGTGAATATTAATTTGCTACCTGCAGGGTCCAACTATCTGTAGCAATAAGGATGTTACGACAATACAGTATAAGGAAAATATTTCGAACTCGCCAATTATCTCAAAACTTCCTATTTGGACTTAACTTAGCCCAGAAGTCTGGCTCCGAGGTACCGATATTCATTTATCACTAAAAAATAAATTATTAGGTACGGGAAATCTGCGAAGTTATTGCCTCAGGAATCCAACCCTTACAAAACCTGACAGTCCTGATATACGTAGGGGAAGAAAAGAAGAATGAATGGGCTAAACATTGGATTAAACGGGGGTTTTCTGCTGTCGAGAAACTGCTTTCTGCTAATGCTGGTAAATATTGCGTTGGAGATGACATCACCATGGCTGATTGCTGTTTAATACCTCAGGTAATCATCACTTTCTTTACTATTTAGGACGGGACGAAAGCCTACATGGCAAAATTTTAGGTTCCAACTTTGAAGGGCAGGTTGTGTCATTTCTACTTCATCGAAAAAAGTGAAATACTCGGAGTATACTCTTTGGATACGAAATATATTGATATTGAAACGAACGTCGAACTGATAGTTTTGTATAGAGGCACTCATTTAATTTTCATTTTCCATAGGTATTTAACGCCAGAAGATTTCACGTGGATTTGAGACCGTACCCAACTATTCTTAGGATTGACAGAGAACTGGAGAATCACCCAGCTTTTATCGCTTCTCACCCCAATCAGCAACCTGACTGTCCTCCAGAAGCAACCAAATAATTTAAATAAATATATAGTGAAAACGATATACCACTGACGCCGTAATGTGTATTTACAGATAAGTGAAAGGAGCTTGGAATACGTGTGCTAGAAAGAGATTCAAGCACCTCGTTGCCTAGCAACCCGAGTAACGAGGCTATGGATGCAGCTGCGGATTACCGTGTTGCCATCGGCGCACTCTTTCTAACATACATATAGTACACTTCTCGCGCGTCTCTCTCGTACATATTACGACGTCAGCCAAGTTTGAACCTCACCGTAGACAGATTTCAATCACAGAAACGTATCCAGGTATATCATGTATCAATGATGCAGTATCATGATTTATAGTTGTGTATATTTCATTGGTTATCATCCAATTTAACTCAGAATATAAGTGTTTATTACAAATATAATTATCTGCATTTTTATAATAGCTAATAGTTTTGTTACAATTTATATAAACAAAATATATTTTTATCTTTCCATTTATAATTATTTTTTAATCCCCTTGTGATCCTTCAACTTTAATGATATCGAATACACAAATCGAATATCCTAGTACAACACAGTTGTAGCACATCTCTACCCGTTGCAAGAAATAGCGATGTTGCCGAAGTAATTCAAATGGTTCAAACGGTGAAGATTTTTTGCAAACTACGTGGTTTGACTCATCATTAGGAATCGCGATAATTCGTTTTGAACCAAAAATCTTGAAAGTTATCTCATCAACAACAGAGGAAAGGCTTACTAAGCAGAATTTGTGAGATAATTATGACACGCCCCTCGTATGAAAGCAAGGCATGTTTTGTCAAATGTCAAAAAAAAGTTGTCAACAAAAGACGAAAACAACAATAAACAGCTGTGTATTTTCAACACGTTATGCCATGTTAATTATTTTCAATTTCTACTGATTTTATAATTTTCTTGGATGAGTCACCATGTGCATTTCGTGCATAGCATATTAATAACCGAGTGAGATATATAAATAAACGCAGCCTCATATCGGACGTTCCAGTTCAGTCATTGTTTTGACTTTGTAAAAAATTGCGTATTTCGCTTAAAAACAGAACAGTACCAAAATAAAAACGAAGCAAATATCGTATTTTATAAGCGGACGAGGAACTGACTGGCCAGACTGTGTGACACATGTGAATTGTGCTAAATCTGGCACACAAACCTATCCTGACTACAAATAACAAATGTGTGCCAAAAACAGATATAGCCACACACAAATCTCTGTGCTTCAGTATTCATCGCACCGCACGGTGCTGAGGTACTAATTTTAACTGTGAATGAGTTGGTCAGAATGTTCAAACTGATACTTGTTCCATTATTTTTTGCAAGTTTAATACTTGTAAGGTCTGAAGGTGAGGAGAATGGTCAGGATGAGACTCAGAAGCTTGTATCTTTGATTCTACAGTCTCTAAATGGGAATTCAAATAAGACATATATTTACAACAGTGGGCAGTTTGTCCATTCAGAACAAAAGGTAAGTGAATCATTTTTCTTTGTAATGGGGAGCTGGGTAACCTAGTATGTTAGAGTGTTGAGCTATATTGGTTCAAAGGCTTCGATTCCTGCCCTCATGGATCTGGTGGTGAAGATCATGTGTGGATTGTCTGCCTATTTGAGTGCATTTCGTATCGACTAAGTTAACCAAAAGTCAAATTCTATGGTTTAGCTTCAAGCTAGACTGTACAGAATACTACAATTGAGCTGTGTGATAAGCTCAGAGACCAATAAATGATAAATTTGTCTGTGTTGTTTTTCCTTTATAAAGTTATGTACAGTACAGTTTTCTGTATAAAAGGCTTTCAGAAAAGTAGATGACTTAAACCAAAAGATGTATTGCTGGATGCAAGTGCTAATTCTTGATACATAAATCTATTTATTTCTTCTGTGTCTAGATTTTTATATATTATATATATACTGGGAGATTATCCAAGGCGACTCCCTTCTATACCTTTTTTATTATTCACTTATAATATGCAACCCCCAAATTTCGTTTTTTCTATCTTCAATAATAAAAAGTTATAGGGGTCAGCTACCTTGGAAAATCACCCAGTATATACTATCTAATCTTCAATTAAAATAATGAAGCAAATTATGTTTTTCTTTAATAAATTGAATACATTTACACAAAAAATTTCATTCATTTCATAATAGGTATGTGTTGAAGGACGTCAGAAAATGGTCAAAACCTCCCACATAATCAATCTCTCAGTGCTGGTGACACATCTCTCACACACCACACCAGATCACTTTCTCATCAGTGACTAGTTTGCACCTGTTATGTTTTGCTCCCAACAAAGATCTATTTTTTTAAGCTAATGCTCATATAATCCTTATTACTGGTAGATCCAGGATCAGCCTTATACTTTGTCTGTGATGTCAGTACTTCAGAAAGAAATCATTCTATCATACTGAAAATTATTTCTATGTAATGTATCAAGAAGACCATAAAACTATCGAAATACCACAAGTGATGATGTTGTCACTATGCTGGTGTATTTTGAAAGACTTTACCACTAATAGAGGATATGTTTGCTCTGCTCCCGTTTCTTATCCAGCCTGTGCTGCTAATCACCAATAAGTATGAAATAGCTGTAGACAGTTGTTGGTCAGACTGACAAATGCAGAGTATTATTAGCCATAAAAAGATGTTCTATAAGCTCCATCACATCATGATCTTTTGTACTTGTATCCAGCATAAAATGATTTTAGACTGTGACGACGATTGCCTATAAGCATGAAACAGCTGTAGATGGTTTGCCTCGGTTGGTCAGACAGACAAAAGCAGTATTATTAGCTATATAGCATTTATACGGCATGTCTCAGTTTATGGAAGTAAATTACAGTTGACAAGTAGCAGCATCTCATTCAAATTCTGAGCTCACTGCTCACACAGGAATTAGGATAAATAATCGTCATTACTGGTAAAAAATACTAAAATAGATAACTACTACTATAAAAATGACGGAAAATGTTGCGCAAAAAAGTATTTATAAGGAGAGGTCAATAAAAATATTCAAGCATTTCTAGATATTATTATCGGTTCACGCTGATTATGTTACTGCGATTTTAATAGTTTACCCAAACAAATTTTAGTGCTTCCATGAATGCATATGTTGTGAGAAATTATACTTATGAGTATAATGCATAATATGCAATGAATGGTTAAATATTATCCTTGAATTTATTCTATAATACCCTGTCCCTGATGCAAAATGTCTTGTGCCAAGAATTTTGCAATATTACATTGCAATGTTTTGAATTGTAGGTGTTGTGAGGTACACTTGGGAATCCTTTCTATTTTTGTTATCTATTTTTGTTGATCTGATATTTAGGTGCATATATTTTCCATCAAACTTTTCCTTAGAAAATGGGATCAGGTGATTTTATAAACTATTTTAATAATGCTCAAGTGGATCATATAAATTGCGGAAAGGTATATTAATTTTTTGTTTAAACAAATAGTTGAAAATATATGCTTAGAACTAAAATGTTTGAAGTGGGTTGTTTTCCATCTCAGCAGAGTTGAAAGTCATCTTATAAGGGCAGTGAGGGGATATAGATCTCTGGGGCCCCAAACATAAGGTTCAAAGGGGGCCCTCGCTGGTGATAGTTTAAGAGCAAGAGCAGGTTGCAGGCTGGAGCATTGTGATTTTAGGAACATAAACGTCGACCACGTGTGCGTCATCTTAGATCCGCCTCTGGACAAGGGGTTGGTGGCGCAAATCTATAACACATTCTATAAACAAAATTAGTGTTTATATCATGTACTACTAATCCTTAACACATGTATTTTATTAAATATTTGATCCTATCTCAAAAAAGGATTATTCACTAGGCTGATATATCGGAAGTGACCAGCGACATTGACGTGTCATGTAAAACTCAGTATCCAGACATCCCCTGTACAAGTACTGTGCTTAGATGTACCAGCTTTATACGCAAAGGAGCAGATCTCAAAGTACTCAGTTCTTCATGTACACCAAAGCATGATGTATCAGCAGAAATTACAAGGGATATCACTTCTGAACTCAATCAAGATGCTGATAATTCGAAGGTAAATAGGTTTTTGCTAAAATTAATGTTTAAATATCTCTATAACACGAAAACGCAATTTTGTTTGTCGATACTTGGCACAACTAGATCAATATGTATACATTATCTTTGCCAATACTTTGAAAACAGCATCCCAAACTGACTTCAAAAAATTTAATCAACATTCGGAGATAAGAAATAAGGTGAATGTATATTTTACAATAAAAAAAAATAAAAGATTAAAACTGAGACTTTAACTGAAATAGTCATGGAATTCGAGGGGTTTTGTAATCAAGTACGATCTGTGCATTAGATATGAATGTTTTTTTTATTTAAACGACCCAGATATGTTATTTTGTAAAGAACATGGTATATCTGCCAAATATCGCCGTCTTCGCACTGTGGCGCGGGTCCAAGGAATCCAATTTTCGATGTCGTATAGATCCGGTGCCTCGTAGATGACGCTGGAATTTCAATCTTCTTTTGACTCCTCACTAATGCCTATTTTAATTGGTATCTTTAGGTGGAATATGTTAATGAATGAATGATGGTAGCACCTTCTATAAGACATTAGTGGAACCAAATACACTAACTCCTTTCAAAGTAAACTTCTACATTCATTTTTGTATTCTGTTGTTGTCTCACAGATGGCGCTAGTACCTTTCAGACCGTTTTTGACGCTGGAATACAGTATATGGTTGACTATCATCAGGTAGATTACATTAATCAATGATCCGGTAGAATTTGAGCGATGACTGGGAGTTCTGAATACCCCACAAAAAAGTTTAATGGGCTGATTTCACACGACCTTAGAGACCGACTCATGTATTACACAAAACACTTAAAATCATGGGTGTTGATTTTTCTGACCCCGTAACCTTTGGAAGTCAGCTAAAAATATACTATCAAATAATTGTTTCAGATTGAACTGAGTCACGAAGCTGCGTACCACGAAGATCCCGATATAGTGGCAGTAAACAAACAGAATATACCATGTGTCGGATGTCCATATGACGTCAACATCAACGCCGAGGGCATTGATAGGCTGGTTGATATCGCTCTTAAACATATCGAAAGCGAACGGGAGACTAAACAAAGATTGGTCAGGGTCATCAGACTACAAGAACAGGTATTGTAGTTGTTGAAGCTTGTATAGTATTTTACAGAATACGGAATGTAAATAGCAGCACTGACTCGGTGTTGAACAACGAATCCAGCCTAGGTAGAACGAGCAAGCCTACGATTTGTACGTCTACAAGTGACATTAGTTAATTTTTTTCATAGCTTTGTAATTGAATTCAAATTTTTAGTGTTACTTTTGAAAGTACGAGTGTTCGATGATTTTAAGACATGATACCTCTTGCATTCATTCGCGGAGTGCGTAATAACATTATCTGCATTTAGGTGGTTGCTGGAATCAAATACATCCTGTTGATGGAAATCGTCCCCACAGAATGTCCAAAAATCTTAGATATGGTGGACTGCCCCGCTGATTCGCAAAAGGAAAGCATGATCTGTGAAATTGAATACTACGAACGGCCATGGATGCACACTGGCAAGAACATTATCAAAAATAACTGCACGATTTCCCAAGAGTTCACAGTCACGGAAAATCAAGAAGCATACGACCAGGATACAAGGAAGACTCATAAGAAAGAGATCACTGATGATTTTTTGACTGAGTTGGAATCCCAAATAGTACAGACTGATCCTAGGTAAGTGTAAATAGATACATTTAGTATTTTAAAAAATCCTAGATGATAGATCGTTTTTCAATTACATTTATTATTTAAATGAGTTATTGTAATTACTGGTTGTAATTGTAAATACATTTGTTTATTATTAATTGGCGTATTTTTCTAGTGTTGCTTGAAACTATGTAGGAGGTTTTCTTGAAGTAAATTTAGTGACAAAATATTAAATACACCTAACTTACAGATGATATTTAAGAAATTTTGGCAAATTTAATAGTTTATTGATTGTATAATTTCACTCTTTCTTTCTCAGCGATTCAGTATGGTGTTGAGGATCAGCAAAAAAACTCTGTAGTTTTTCTCCGTTAGATGGTTTCCTATCTTCTTCAAGGCCACTCAAGATTCAGTCTTCTAGAACGTTACGTATTCTGCGTGATTCGCTTTTCTGTTTCCGTTGAGGTCGTGGTGCGGGAGTCGTTTCGTCGTTTTCAGACTCTGTGATATTAGGCCCCAACCGCCAATTCATGGACTAGCACCTTTTTTTTATGTTGTGTAACTTAAGTTTAGTTATTTTGGTTTGGGTGCTACGTCTTCCATTTTTTTATGGGATTTTGACCTTCAGCGGTAAGTTCTTTTTTATATACCTTCGGACCGCGTGCCTTAATGCGTGTCCTGATGACGTTCATTCAATATCTGCTTTCTTTTTGTCAATAGAAACAGAAGAAAAGGGTTTGGCCTAGGAATGGGCACTCTATTATCAATGAAGAGAAATTCAAATTACGGAAAAGTGATAAATAGTAAAAAAAATTACGTGATTTTGGCACGTGACAAAAATACACATAATATGCGGGCATTGCTTGTTTTGAGAAACTTTCCACAATACAAATTCTAATGGTGAAGCTCTAGTTAGAAAGAGCTTATACAATTTACGTCAAAATATATTATTTTCCAGATTGGTTCAGCCAGTAGAAGACAATAATGTGCCCAAAGTTAGTGAAACTGGAGAAGCTAAAGTTGACGCGTACCCACCTTTTTTCTATCAAACAGTAAGTGAAAGTAGAGTAGCAGAAAGTGCTACACCCACTGCAACAGAAGACGTCAAATTGGCAGAGAATAGCCCTGCTACAGAAAATGTTCACTTTCTCCAAATTACAGAAGGTAAGAGAAAATACTCCATTGTTTTCCAAAAAAAAACTTGCATCGGACCTACGTTGAACGCCAAACTTTCGTCAATTGTACAATGCAACTAAGATTTCTGGTTTTTGGGAGTAACTGGATGTTTGAATTAAGTCGGGATCGAATAATTGACTAAAGACACAAAACCCGCTACTGTATTGCGTGATCATTGTGTGACCAGTGCGTAGATATTTAGTGGATACTACCATGCTTGTACTGATTATGCAAATATGCTTGTGGAAGTTTCAAACAAAGCTAAAGGTAACATTATTTAGATGCAGATTTTGTTACCTTGGCCAGTGGTCCAAATTTGGACGATGCCAATCCTAGTATTGCTGGCCCAACAACCGAAGGTTTTGACGTGTCTGAAAGCATTCCCTCCCCCGATACTGTTGTGGAAATTATGGCTGGACCTATGGTTACAACAGAAGGCATTGATGGTGTCACATATGACGTTGAGCAGGTAAATCATTCTATTTATATAATACTACGATTACCAAAGATGGAGATATATAGGATTGAGAATAAATATATATGTAACTTTTGGTTTCTTTGGATGCTCAGTCACAAATTGAACATTCCTGTTTTTACCCGACTCCATCAGAAGGGTTATGTTTTTTTCGTACGTGTATGTATCCATCACGCTGTGACGTCTACTGAGTTCTATTCCTCGAGATCCAATGCAAATGGCTTAATGGATTTTTTTTTTAGTAGCGCGAATGATACTGGGTATGATCAAATTTCATAAAATTAAAATAGTGGATTTTGTCCGAAAATTTTAACTTTGAAATTTTTACTTCACCGGCTATAGCCTCAATGGCTTGATGGATTTTGACATACGAGGTGTCTCTAGATTTGTATTGATAGTGCGAATGGTAGTGGGTATGCTAAAATCATGTAATAAAAATGGTTTATTTCACAGGCCGCAGCTAAAACGATTTGATAGGTGTTGACGCTGGTGGTGTCCTTAGATTCGCCTTGATACCAAAATTAAAAAAAACTTCATTCTTTTGGAGTCGTTTTTTATATTTAATAAGAATGTACCTAAAAAATATGCATTTCAACGTGCCCTTCGTATCTCTTAAATGTGAGATTTACTGGAAAGCCAAAACAAAATGCGAAACCGTGAAAAAATCGAGAATAGTGAAAAGAAAAACAAGAATTTTCAGTACATTAATATCTTGACTCAACTTATGATTTATTTTTACTTAAGTCTTATTAAGTATGTTTAATGTGTCTTTCCTGCACATGCGATATTATTTGAGTATATGATTGCCGAAAACACATACTTATGATCTTACTTAATTTTTTTGAACTAGTAATATAGCTTGAGCAACTGAACAACTCTATTTAGAGTATAAGGTCTATCAAAATAAGACAGCAGAAAGTGCCATCTATTACCAGAATCTACCACTGCGAGGGTGAAAAAAAAGAAGCTGTCAGTTGGGACTGTATGGTAGTTCGCATTGCCGGCAGGCACGGGTATTATGTAAAAAACCTATAAAATGTCATCTTGCAGACTAGGTAGTTTCTAGGATACAAACAGTCATTCCACGTTTGTCCACTAGGATCGTTGTGAGCGTCTATCTATGGACGAATGACTCAACCACACGCATTGTTGGTTGCATATGTTTTGTGAAGCCGAGTAGTCTAGTTTTCATATCTGAGAAGAAAGTTGGCTGGCTGATTATGTTTATTGGTCTGCATGTGTATAAAATCAGTGATATTTGCTATGTGAGAAAATTATTACTGAATATGCTGTGCCCGACGGGTTATTTATATGGACATTGATAACAGAAGCCTCATGATATTTCATTAACACGTACAACTATTACGTGTCCATCAGCTAGTGCTAAGTTAACATCTTGTAGAAAAACATACACAATGTCACTAAAAACCAATACAATGTCATAAAAAATCGACATAATGTCACTTTTCAAGATACGTAATACCTGTGCGGGTCAGTGTGGCCACTAGATGCCACCAATTTATACCAAGCAACCAAAAGCTGGTACTTTTCTCACGTGGGTGATGTTTTTAGCTAATAAGTTTTTATAGAAAACTAGCCTACAAGAGGAATTAGCATTAAGACATCTAATTATACTTCTAGGTTGCTGAAGTCGTGAGGATAATAAGAGGAGCTGAGGGAAAAACAACCGATGATAAAAAATCAGAGGTGTTGGAAAGGGACAAGAGGAAAGTTAAAGATAATCGCGTTGATGATGACAGCTCTAGCAGCAGTAGCAGTAGTTCTGAAGAAGACAAGAATCATAACAGCGATAGCAACAGCAAAGATGATGATAATGACAAATGCAATAACAATAAGAAGTGTAGAAATAGTCACGATAGTGATAGCGATAGTAAAGATGACGACGACGATGATAACAAATGCAATAATAAGATTATCAAGTGTAAAGATAACGAGAATAGCGATAGCAAAGATGATGATAATGACAAATGCAATTACAAAAACAAGTGTAACAACAAGAGCGATGATGACGACAATGATGATGATAAAAGCAACCACAAAAGTGATGACAGTGACAGTAGCAGTAAAAGCGACGACGACAGCGATGATAGTGATAACAAGAAGAAAGGACGTAAGCATGAAGATGATGACGATTCTTCATCAAGCAGCAGTAGTTCAAGTAGTGAAGATGACAATCATCATCATAACCATGGCAAGAAGGATTGTAATAAAGGAAATGATAGAAAGAAGGATAAAGATAGTGACAGCGATGATAACGATGATGATGATGATTCTAAGTCGTCTAGTAGTAGTAGCAGCAGCAGCAGCTCCAGCGAAAGCGATGATGACGATGACGACGACGATTGCCACAACAAAAAGAAAAATGATAAGTGTAAACGCGGAAAGAGATCACTCTCTCTGCAAGGTATAACATCACTTATTATTTCATATTTGCTTATTTAAGTATAGGTTTTCTCGATGTCTTACTGGCCTCCAATAAAATATGCGCGAAACTACCACCGGATAGGTTTCCCCGAATTTCCGCTGTGATTCTCTGGCCTCACATCCAATATATTTGCTAAACAGCTTTGCCTTCCTCTGTTAGTTGACAAGCTTATCGGTAGTCACTTTTCATTTTATAGTTTTAGTATGCTGTCAAAAAACTAGTTTTATTTAGCATTTACTTACATATCATGTTTACAGTTTCTGTTTCCTAGTGTGAATGTATAGTGTATATTTACGATATATGCTATTGTAATATAGGGTTAGCTAAATATTTTGTTAGGATTGACTTTCGTTTCTCTCTTCTACAGACATTGAGGAAGAGATAGAAGATGAAGCAAGAGTAGCTGCAATCGAAAACGAGATGTTCTACAATTTCATGAAGCACTACAACAAACAATATTCGCATCCTTTGGAGTTGGTTTATCGTCGGAAAGTCTTCAGAGATAACTTGGAAACCATCAGACTTCTTAACAAATTTGAACAAGGTATTTGACATTCATCATCAAGCGCACCATTCAATTTCCATTAGTGGGTTTCTTACAAAGATGATAAAAACCCAGCTTCAACTCAGTTGCAAGGAAGAAATCCCTCTGATTTCCTAAGCAAAAGTCGCAAAGCTTACGAATGATCTGGAACTTAAGGAAAGGAAATATGAACTGGATACGAGACTACACAAAGTAGGGCAGGCAGTAAAGCTTAAGAAGCAACCAGAGCACATAGTTAAAGTAGAAGTATTGCTTTTGCAAACAATAAATTGAATGCTATAAATAAATATCAATGAAGCAACTGATAGAAAGTTATGTTAATATGAAAAAAGGCCATACTTCTAAAATAATATTGTTAAAATGAACAGATTTTCTAATGAAACAGCGTTGCTTTCCGAAGATATAAAAATAGTAGATTAATGATAAGTTCCATGGAAAAAGTAGTAATAGTAGAAGTAATATTAATTCGTGAATGGTTTTCAAAAAAATCTCCTGCGTATTACACGATTTAGTTTAGTATCACAAGAGAATTAATTGTAATTTGCAATTAAAATTTTTCCAAAACCCAGTACCCTGTGAACTCCGCCTTAATGGCTTGTGTTACTCTCCGGAGTGAGCGGGCAGGTCAGGTACACGGACGGCTCGGTCACCGAAGAGGGCTCAGGTGCTGGGGTCTCTGGGCCTAGAACTAGGCTATCTCCGCCTCTCGGTGGATACACCACTATTTTCCAGGCGGAAATCTTTGCGATTCTGGCTTGTGTATCTCACATTCTGGAGGAGGGTGGGCCTAGGAGAAGAATAACAATCTTATCCGACAGCCAGGCTGCAATGAAAGCACTAAGTGCCTGTAAGATTACTTCGAGTCTTGTATTGCAATGCAGGGAGGCTCTGGATTGCCTCGGAGCGAGGTATCCGGTATCGATAATATGGGTACCGGGGCACGCTGGGATAAGGGGCAATGAGACGGCGGACACTCTGGCGAAGACAGGATCAGCCAGCAAGCTCGTTGGTCCTGCGCCAGCTCTAGGAGTGGCCGCGCATAAAGCTAGGAGGAAAATGGAGACGTGGGTTGTAAGACAACACTCTCAGAAATGGAGAAGTATCTCCAGACATCTCCGCCAGGCACGGGAACTCATTGGCTCTGGACAGAGCCAACCTAAGGTTGCTGGTGGGACTGTTGTCTGGCCATAACACGTGAAGGCGTCACCTGCACGTGATGGGGGTGGCTGAGGATCCCTTGTGTGAACGCTGCGGGGTAGAGGAAGAGACCTCGGCGCACGTTTTGTGTCGCTGTGAAGCTCTGAGCAACTATAGGCAGACTATACTGGGGTACATTACTTTGGACCGTCAGGACGTCAAGGAGCTTGGACTCAAGGCGATTCTCAACTTCGCTAAAAGGGCGAGGCTTGTGATCTAAGGATTGTAGAGGTGCATAAGGGCCCGCTTAAGCGGCCTATGCACCGGCTCCTTATGGTTGCCGGAATGCCTCTAATTTCAAGATTCATTCAATGGCTTGTGTTAACTTTTCTTCCAGGTACTGCCACATACGGTGTCACACAGTTTGCAGATATGACAAGAGAAGAATTTTCGAAAATGCACGGTTTGCGACCAGACCTGAGAAGTGAAAATGATGTTCCATTTGCAAGCGCTAAAATTCCTGATATAGAAATACCCACGGAATTTGATTGGAGACAGAAGAATGCTGTTACTGAGGTTAAAGATCAAGGAATGTGCGGCAGCTGTTGGGCCTTCAGTACCACAGGTAAATAAATAACATACATTTTTATGCATTTGAATTTTTCTACAATAGTATTGTTGACTTCAATTTGCTTCATATGTTCTCGATTTTGTTTGCAGGAAACGTTGAGGGACAATATGCCATTAAATATGGACAACTTCTGGAATTTTCTGAACAGGAATTGGTAGATTGTGACAAATTGGATGAAGGTTGTAATGGAGGTCTCATGGACAATGCTTACAGGTAATTTGCCATATTTGTTCATAACCTAGAGTCAATCCAGAAGTAACGCTAGTTTTTAATCTTTATCAGAAACATGTAAACCTGTGGGAATTTGCATCGGAGTGAAATGAACACTGTAGAAAAGGGGGAGATCACGTCCTTATTGATCTTCACAATAACGCACCTCATTTTTATTATTTTCTGAAAAACGAACTGGAACTGGAAGACACCCAATCAGCGGCAGTACCCACAATGCTTGAAAACATCCAGAGCTGAATCCTTTACTTCACACGCCCACTGGCGAGGAAGTGTTGTAACCGCGAAAATTTTGAAAATGAGATGTATTGTTTTTGGGATGATGTATGACATGTGCCATGTCTGCTAATCGACTTGGAAAGTACTGCTCGGATTTGGATGACATTTTTACACGAGCTTACTGCATACCAAGGACGAAAAAGTGTTTTTGAAAATCGGCCCAGTGGCGGCGGAGAAAAATACCAAAAACGAAGAAAATAAAAATCACTCAAAAGAACAAATATCGGTCGCATTTGCCTTCTGGGTTGTAAATATTGCTGCTTTGGTAGTGGATCCGAAGGTCTTCTAAAAGCAGGTATCAGACGGCGCGGTGACGCGAAATGAACATACGAGATGGGCGCAATATTATCTACGTATACGAGCATTGTGTTTGGAGAGTAATTTAAAACAGTTTTACACCAGAGCATCAAAGAAATGAGGCTGTCGTGTACGGACACGCTGATTGCTGCAATCTGAAGGAATTTTTTTCACGAATAGCCTAAATAGTGCAATAATGGTTCTAACACAACCCACGTCTTTTGGATGCCGATGCCCTTGCATTGCATGCATACAAATTTGTACTAGAATTTGTTTCGAACGCGTGGGAAAATATCTTCTTGGCGCCATTTTTTGCTCAACCGCGCGAATGTAAAAATCCCGTATTATTAAAACTAGAAAGAGAGATTTCTTAGAACGTTAAGAAGTTCGAATCCCAATGATGAAATTTCATTTATTTTCTCTCAAAATGATCAATGTTACTGAATTGAACATATTTTTTGCAGAGCAATAGAAAAGATGGGCGGCCTAGAAACAGAAAAAGACTACCCATACGAAGCCGAGAACGAGAAATGTCACTTCGTGAAGACCAAGAGCAGAGTCCAACTATCCGGGGCAGTGAACATCAGCCACGACGAGACCGACATGGCCAAATGGTTAGTCAAAAATGGACCAATAGCGATCGCGATCAATGCTAATGCCATGCAGTTCTACGTCGGCGGAGTGTCGCATCCGTGGAAGATGCTTTGCAGCCCGAAGGATCTTGATCATGGAGTGTTGATTGTCGGTTATGGAGTACACAGTAAGTACATTCTAGAAATGGGTTGTTTGGGGGTAATTACTCGGTCTGAACGTAAAACACACAACTTTTGTAGAACGTGATGTGGAATGCTTGAGTTCATACACCTTTCTCAAAACTTTCTCTTATGTTCTCCAAGAAATACACGCCCCGTAACACGGTCAAAAAATAGCCAAGGTTCAAACATATTTTTACCGGAATCAGTTGCCTGATTTAGATGATTATTTAGTACATATAGAGACCATCCTCTCCAGTAAATTTGTGTGTTTAGAGTATTTGCGCAGGTTATTTTTTATACACAAGGTGTTATTACTATAATCATAAAAACAATTCATATTAAACCTCTAGTAGATCGCTCCAAATCACTGTTTTTAGGATCAAAACTTTTGGATATAAAAAAATTCTTTTGGTATATTATAATAGAATTCCATAAAAACAAACATTCGATCATTTATAAAAATTATGAATGTGATACTAAAAATAAACAAATAATTATTGGAAGACCAAAAAAAAATAATGTTGAAATCTTTAAATACTTATGTCCAAAATTATATCATAACTTACCAAATTATATTAGAAAAAACCAAATATCATTATTAAAAATAGATGTATACCAGTGGCTTTTGAAAATTGATATAAACATGATGTAATACATAAAAAACTAACACATATATTTTCTTCATTGTTAGTGTACGATCCAAAATCAATGTACATATTAATATTACACTTATATAAAATAGATTTTTTTTTATGTCTATCAATTCATTATAACTGCTAGGTTATATTATGTACGTTGTGTTATCATGATATCCACATACAAGGATATTTACTTTTTGTGGGATATGCATTTGTTCACAATGTGCCATGAATGTGGATAAATTATTATTATTATTATTTATTTGTGTGACTATCTTCTATTTCGTTAACCAGTACTTCTGCTTGTTCATTGGTATGAAAAAAGATTAACTGAGAAGACACTTAATAAAACGCAAAGAACTACCCTAAGACACACTTTTCAATCAGAATCAAGATGGCTTTGAGACTCTAGTTTTTAAAGAAACCAATGACGGACGATTTACATCTTATTCAAAAATTTTACCGAGCTTCGAACAAATTTCTGTTAATTATTATGGCCAAAAGCAAAAATCGATAGAGTTAACAGTTTAAAATATCTTGGAATATTTATAGACTCACACTTAAGGTGAGATAACCAATATTCCATAAGTTATCAATAAAATTAGAAATGTTGTCTATAAACTCAAAATACTTGCGAACATTCTTACATAAAGTTATCTCCGAATACTGTGCCATGCTTTAGTTGAAACCCATATGATATATGGCACCACCTTAAAATATAAACATTGTAATGAACAATTTAAACGAAAATTAAAAGACTGTGCAGCAAATGACTAAACATAATTATATAGAAAGATAAAACTGCAAAATTCAAAATTAGGTAAATACTTTTTAGGATTAAATTTGTTATACACATATGGTTTTTGTTAGTTATAAAGATATTATATAATCCACACCCGGGTGCCTTCTGCGGATTTTTCATATTTTTGGACAATTTTTTATTTTGGCAAATAAATATTATTATTATTACAACAGTATGATTTTTTCAGCATATCCTAAATTCAACAAAACTCTGCCTTACTGGATAGTGAAGAACTCTTGGGGCCCCCGATGGGGAGAACAAGGCTACTACAGAGTATACCGAGGCGATGGGACCTGTGGCCTGAATCAAACTCCTTCCAGTGCCATTGTTGCTTAGCAACACAGCTGCCATATTTTATACTTAATAAAATGAACTACTTGATATCATTTTTGATTTAAAACAAATACATCTCTATGGATCAGTGGTGTGACATCTACTTATTATTAATGGTAAAAAAAAATATTGTGATCCCTTATTTATCGTTAATTTTTCATTATAGTATTTAGTTATTCATTAACAAGTGCTTTATGTTTATAATACTCTTGAAAATATTTATCTGTAGGTACAAATTGATGTCCTTCGAGCTCTCATATTTTGTAGCTTTTGTTAGTGAATAAACACTAATTTTGATTTCTTTTATGGTTGAATATTTTTCTCAACAATCCTATCCATCATCCATAAACGAATAAACACACAGGAAACTGGTATTTTGAGAAGTATAACAGCCCTATTTGTAACAGCGGCAAAGTAGGACCTCATATTTCGTTATGTCCTAGCTGCAGCCATGAGCACCCTCAGAGAGATTTCAGGGGAGCCGTATTTGCGCATCTTAGCATGTCAGAGAAAACCATTGACGTCTTACCCAAAGGTATGGGTAAGACGTCAATGCAGCTCACCATCACTCTTGTGGTTGCTAATTATGGTTCCGATTTCCCCAGCTGCGCAATAATTAGTGCTGTCGACTGTACACTAGAAACATAACACTGAAAGTTTAGTCACGTGCTATCCATAGAGCAGTACGGTCGACTTATGTCAGTGTCAATCGCCATTTTTTCTGAATGTCACATGGTTGCCAGAGTGTGCACAATCACCACATGCGACGTTGCCGGCTCGACGCATAATTCTGAGAATGTTGTATCATTTTATAGTAAGCATTTCTAATGATATATGGAAGATTTTATAATACCATGTGTTATTAACATATTTTTGCTGTTTTGATAAATAAGTAGTGACTTATTTGTTAAAGCAGCAGCGTCAATAACAGGCCATTATAAAATCATACTTATATCCTAGTTATTTGAAAATTTGAGAACATTAAAAAATTTATACTTGAGGATATATTTTTATCTAAATTTTATATTGTATGAACATATCAATAATATTTATCGTCCAAATATTATAGGCTTTAAATACATAGTTAATTGTTGAATGGCCGTTGTTTTTGTTGATTGTCAAATAAGTTTGAAACAGGGCCGATAGATGGCGGCCTAAAGTCAATTTGTTTTGTTTGGAATTTTAGGTGAGGAAACAAAAGAGATCGATATGTTTAAGATTGAACTATTTATTATGTGTCTACTTTCAATGCGAATCTTCTATTTTGCACAAGTTCAGAAAAACTACATTAGTTAAGGTGGATATTTAAATAGTGGAGGGAATTTTCTGCCCAGCCTGCCATACCGACATGATTGTTTATTTGACGCGGGGAATTCGAAATTAAATTGTTTAAAATATTTATTATGTTGATAATTAATGCAGTTGGATTGAATTGTTACACATTACAAAGCAATTTACAACTCACTATCTTCGAAAAAAATTAAAACTGCCCTAACCGATGTCCATTTTGCGTGTAAAGCGATGAATGGAAAAGTGAATGAACTTTTTATGAAACCGACCGAGCTACCGTCAACATCATCAAATTTTGACCACGGGACGTTGTGGAAAACGGGTCCCCAGTTACGTTAAATCGGTGCAGTCAGTAGATGAAAACGCCGAAATTCCTTGATTTCACCATGTCGTGAACATGAACGGGCTGTGTTGGCGTTGCGGCAGTGAAAAACGGCATTTCGCTTACGGTGTGGCAGGGAAAAGGGCCGACCGAGTGTCAGCAGGTGGATTAGAGTGGGCTGTGAAAATGAGACCGATCAGCAGGGCTGGAATGCGATGAGATGCACATATCGGAAGCGGTACAGTTTCGGTCGCAGCCCGAGAACATCTTGACAAAATGTACAAAAATGACAGAGGAGGGGCACACAGGGATGAATGGAACCGCTGACAGGGGGATCAAGGAGGAGTGTCACAAGGCGAACTATGGACAAGGGGGCCGACTCAAGTTCTTCAAAGGTCAGTAAAATAGCTTACTAGCTCCTAAATAATAGCAGGACTAACGTAGTTTGTGTGGCACTTGGCTGTGAATGATCATTTTATATGTGCTACAACTACTTCACTAGACTACATCAATCTTGGTTTTATGATTATTACTAACTCAAAGTAGGTTGTAGTTTGTAGCAAGCTATTGATTTGGTTTTTACTTGATTCAAAACAAAATATAAAAAGTGGTGGAGGTTCATAACAGTATCAGACAAATCATTGACAGGGGAAGCTCCTCAATGGTCAGGAAACCACTCACTAGCTCCGAAAGAACATCTAAATTAATTTGGCACTTGGCTATGATTGTTGCTTAGCTGATCTACATATCATTTTTTTGTTCTGCAGCTAGCAGCTAGGTGAAAGAAAGGAAGAAAATTTAATAGGTTGTTTAATTCATTTAACAAGAAGCCAGAAATGATAAACCTTTGAGTTATCCCTTAGGTGATTGCCTTTTGGTGCGAGATTACGTGGTTTAGTTTGGTATCAAAACAGAATTGTCAGTTTGATTTTTACTTCTCTCAAATAACCTGTAAACCCTTCCTTAAATAATCTACTATAAAAGAAAAAGTGATAATTAGAAAATTATTGATGAGTTGGTTTATTACATAGTGATAATAATACACTTTTTGACTAAGATATACCATTTATTAGATATACTACCTCGGAGGAACCCTGTTGGAAATAGCAAGCTTCTTCAATTTACAGTTTTTAGCTAATATCTAAATCTAAATCGATCTGGGTTTACAGAAAAATAATAAGAGATGAATTGTACCTTATACAAGTTCCTAATGCAATATAGTCGGGAATTATCATATTATCATCCATTTGATTTCAGATGGCAAGTTTATATTGGAGCTGGAGAGGGCAAGAGAGGGTGAAAGGGTATCATGGGTTTCTGTGCCTAGGAAAACATTCTGGCCTCCTACAGGGACTGCTTCAAATACCCCAGCATACAGGCAGGAGAGCAGCACATCACTCAGTGGTAATTAATCTGTTTAACTCATTTTGATAAAACGTTTGACAATCAAAATTGAAAATTTGATAATACACAAACATGAACATGTAGGAAGTACTGAGTTTATCTACTTTATGCATTTTTTCTTTTCAAGTAAATTCAACAACAACTATTTAGTATGCTTATATTTGTGCATGTTTGAATGGCCCTGCATTTCTTAAATCCCAATAAAAGTCAGAACACCCGAGATTATGTAGTTGTTGAGAATATTTTTGTTGTTGAATATTGATATATTGATAATTATTTTTTTAAATTTTGTTATTTTTCTATATATTTTTTTATGTAAAACCATTCTGATGAAAAAGAGCACACAATGAAAAATTAGTCAGAACTTAAAACGATCCATTGAAAATTTGCTGCTGGTGAAAGCAAAACAGGATTTAGCAACATACAGTAAGCTTTAATTGATTGTTGCAAGAACAGTCTAAGAAAAGAAAAAGGCTAATTCCTATTAAATACCATTTCCTGTGTAAGGTGAACTAAGCAATGGAAATAATGAACGTACTGCTCTGATAATTTTTAAACAATAGAGTACTTTATGCACCAGATATGACTGAACAACTATTTTGTTTTATACAAGGTGATACAAGAAATACAGTGAACTATTCACTATAAATTTTTATGTAAAAACATGAAGTCAAGTAGATTGAGTCGGTATGTCCCATGCATTAATATTGATATAGTGATAAATATATCTAAAATTCCTATGCATCATTAATGATTTCAAAAGTATTGACACTCTAAACATTCTGTTTACTACACCCTAAAGTGATGAGGAATATGGAAAGTTGAAAAACACAGAATGTGGCAGACACCAGTTAGCATTAAAAAATTTTATTCTTTCTAAAAACATACACACCAATAGAAATGGTTTCCATGCATCACTTTGATATATGTGAGACATTAAAACAAAATATGTTTCAAAATTGTTTGCTTTGATAATACTTTCACAATTTCCCCAATTAATATGGGAGTTAAAACATGAAAAAAAAAAAGATGATAGACAATCTTTTTGGAATCTTTGGAGTAGAGATGGACTCGGAGGTAGTGGATATAGGAGGAAGGCAAATCAGTTCTACTTCCTACGCCTCTGGCGAGGAAATAAGGTAATCGCGAAAAATATCAAAATTGAGAGATTATGTTTTAGGATATTACATGACATGTACATCTTGAAATGTCACTCATTTCCGTCAGTCTGTCAGTTGGTCGGTGTGTCGCTCTGCTAATTCTTGGCCCATCTATAACTTGGAAAAATTTCCCCATAAGGTTACTACTATGTCAAATCGGCAAAGAACGAAAAAAATAAAAATCACTCAAACTTGTTTTTTCAACATTTTAGAGACTCCTGATCATTTTCAGAAAAACATTTGCTGGTGTTATCAATTGGGGGTAGGGGGTAGGGGATTGTAAATGTTGTATCTTTGGTATCAATGAATGATGTTCTATTGTTGAGAAGTTTCTGGCCCGGTAATAACGGAACATTTAAATGACAATAACGTCACCGCAAAAGCATTCAGTTTATATAATTTTCACACCATTCAACTGAACGATTTTCATTTGCAGTATCCGACGACAACAGCTCGATCCAATCCTCGCCATGGCAACGGGACCACTCGTGGAAGCAGCCCACTCCTGCTAAAGGCATCAGCCAAGAGTTGGCGCTGTTCTGGTGGCGACCTCGTAAGGCAGGCCGACGTTGCCGCGGTCCAGGCAATCGTAAACGGCGGCGGCCGCTGTCCAGGGGGCCTCCGGAGGTAGAGCACGTGCACGTCAAGAGGGAGGTTGAGCAGATGCATGTCAAGAAGGAGCCTGGAGTGGGCAAGAAGTCATTGCTGGTGGTTGTGCAGATGCTGCTTGAAAGGAATTTCAGGACTAGGTAGGAAGATTTTTAAATAGTGTAGTATACTACGTATTTTTGAACAGTGACACAGACTTAAGAGGCAATTTTACTTCTCGCGCCACTGGCGATGAAGTATAATCGCGAAAAAATCGAAAATGTCTTTTGTTTTTTGGATGTTATATGGCATATACAGCATGAAAAACCATGCTACTCATTTCACGAGTGAATTTAATTCAGCTATTTTTTTGTTTTCCAGCTCATCTCCACGCTCAGAAATGGTGGTATCGCCTAGGAAACGGTTTTTGCGCGAAATGGAAAAGGATAAAATGCAAGTGGATGATACCAACTGTTTGAAAAGGAGTAGAAATAAGCCACAGACGAATATGTCCTCTCCCCCATCGGTAAGTAAAAGACGTCAAGATGAAAGGAAAGGCGCAAATGAAATTCAACATGAAAGGGCACGGGAAAGCGCGCGATTGTGGAGATTCTGTTATGTATATTTATATTGTTATATTTACTATTCATTTTCGAAATCGTCCCATTGTTCATTTTTAATCTTTGAGAAATGTCATCATTTCTGACACCACTTCTAAATGATTCAAGTACTTTGTACCTTAAATCTTTTGAAAATTCTTTTACTTCTCACTGATGTTAATATTTACCGCACACAATATCAGAATATCACAGAACGAATAAATTCGTCGAAACTGAAATGTTTCCAAACTTTTGTCGTTACAAAAACTATGGTATTTAAAAAAACGTGTGTTTTTATTTTCAGAGAATTTGAATATTTATAAGATAAACCTTGTATTTGTATGGGGGACAAAGGTAGAACTTTAATATTTATATAGTTGCAATCACGAAAGATGACGGTTGCGTCATCATTTTAGTCTGTAGTAAAAACATTTCTCACTTGAATACTTGAAAACCTTATTTTTAAATTTGATATAGCACTCTTATCTCGCAAATCTCGATGTAGAGTGTTATACAATGATGTGTAGTTGAACTGGGGTGACTTTGTATATTCCATAGTTCTAAAATGATTTGCTTTCAAAATGGTATTTCTGGTCTCATAGTTGTGATGTTCATTTTGTATGCTGAATCGATAATGTTTCGCATTACATAGCTAACGTAAATACAAGGAACTGTCAAGAACTTATTTTGAATTAATGTGTATTTGTAACTTTCGCCAAACTTAAGGTTGAACAATAATCGAATTATCCATTTTTGAGATATAAAAGCTCTGTTGATGCTTGTAGCTCTACCACAGCATAGGATGTAATAAGATAAATGGCTGTATACCAGAGCATAGTATAACCTATAAAATATGGCATAATACCCTTTATTTAAGTTCAGGCATACATTCTCAACTTGGTTGCTGAAGTGGGATCTGCATTGAACTAGCTACCAAGGAGTGTCATGCTAACCACTAACTGTAATCCAAGCTCTACATTTAATGATGCCTTAGTAGTTGGATGTATGGCTTTTCATAGAAAATCTCTAACTCCAATTTCTTTTTATTTCAGGTGAATACAGGTGCCGCGTCCCCTTCTCATCCTATCCACCCCCCAGTATTGGCCACGTCTATCTCAACGAACGGTGATAGTACTCCAAAGCATGCGATGGCTTCTCCTTCTCAAAGGAGCAGCAACTGCAGCTACAGCATCACCTCGTTGCTCGGAGAAGATAGGCCACCCTTGAAAAGGTCCTCCCCACCCAATGGAGGTAAATTGTAAAGGCAGTCACAAATGCAATTTCAAAAAATATTTACATTTAAGATGCAAATAGTATGTGCATTGGCAGATGTCAAAGCATTTGTCATTTTACCGAGCAAGTGCAAGTGAGCAACAGTTTATATATGAATATACCTTGTCCACCAAGCTGGCAAGCCAAAATCGATTATGTTTCAGAAAAAAATCCTAATAAGCAGTTTTACAGCAGAATTATATTCTTGAGTGTAAATGATAAGGTTACAAAAATTTTTGCTGTCTAACGTTTTTATTAAACATCAATTTTGGAAAACTTACTTTTTCGCGTAAATACAAATAGTTACGATTTATTGGTTTAAGTGGTCAAAAAGAATTTATAGTGGATGAAAGTATCTTCACAATGAGACCTTGAACGGCGAATTTGCCGTAACTGTTTATTTGTTACTATAAAAAAATGTAAAAAATGGTCGATTTCTACATTTAGTTTTTACTAGAAAATGCATAGCAGAGAATCTGAAATACTATACTTCTAAAAGTTCAAGCATTTGTGGTGCTTAATACCCAGAAAAAATTCATTCAAAAATACTCAACTGTTTCTTCAAATCTCTAATTGTTACCATTTTTTTGAGAAAAATGGCCTTTTCTGACTAGATGTCCAGCGACTTTGGATTATTCAAAAGGCCTCATACTGGGCTCATTCTCATGCTTGTTGTTGTTTGAAAATCATGATTTGGATGTTCACCACTTGATAGCTGATGAAAAATTGTGCATATCAGCTCGTTGCACAAGAAAAAGCCAATCATTTTATAAGCGATGATCGGCGAACTGTGATAAATATATGGATAAGATGCTTTATTAAGTGTGCTCGAATTCAAATTGATAACAAATTTAGTATGAGATATTATGAAAGTATATATTTTTATTTTAATAGATAATTAATTTATCGTTATGTTTATTTTCAGATATCCGTGAAGCCAAATTCAGCCCGCCAGTGCATCGTCCCCCTTCCGTGTCTTCAGGTGGCCACCCGTACTACTGCCCTCCACCACAGCCAGAAGATAGGTGGTACTTGGATAGCGTGGACCATCGTTTGAGGTCAATTGAATTATCGGTAAGCTAAACCAGTTTTTCATTCCTATACAAGATTATTTTAATATCTAGCTGTTGAGTTTTTACTGCAATTTATTAGGTAAGAAAATGTTTATTGTTTTCGTTATGAATGGAGAAACCTAGATTTGCCCTTTGGGGTTTTAAAAAGGTGATATGATTTCTTTTTTGTCGATTTATCCAGGATTGGCGCCGGTTTGGTTCGGGATCAAACTGTCAAATAGATAAAACAAGACAGATTTGATAGAAAAGTAACCAAGTTTTCACGATACTTTGGCAATGAAAATTATTTATTTAACATTTTAATGCAACAATATGTAATTTCATTTCAAAGCTTTGGTTTTATATCGCAGACAAAAAGTGAGGAGTGTACTTGAGGCATTTAGGATTCTGCCTGCGCGGCTGCTTCGGTCTAAAAAAATTAATTTATGTTCTGTAGCAGGTGGAGAAGCACGCAAGCGGCCCATACCCCTCTTCTCCCCAGCACCACCACCACGCCGCCTCCCCGTACCACCACCACTTGAGCCCAGCTGCAGCCGCCGCCGCCGCGTACATGTACCCTTTCGCCCCTACGTCAGCTGCTGCCGCCGCCGCCGCTGCTGCAGCGGCTGCCGCCTTCTACGGCGCGTACGGCAGGGGGTACGTAGCGCCGCCTCCGCCACCGCCCCATGCGAGCATGTACCACCACGCGCCGCCCCCGCATCCGCACCATCATCACCACAGGCCGCCTCCCGCAGCATCATGGGTCGCGCAGCAGCGGCAGAGTCCACAGGCAGAGAGGCAGCAGGCGCCGGCGGCTGTCGAGGTCAAGGACGAGCCCGTCACGGGTAAGATCAGAATGCATGGTTGCAATTTACGCTAACGATCTCCCATCATTCATAAAGGATGGCAGGGTATTCATGTTCATGCTTACATTCTTTCCACTTAAGCTTTATTTTATATAACCTGGTTGCTCCTTTAGCTCTTTTTCAGAAAGATCTGACACGTTTTCTAACAAAAATCGATCGGATAATTAACATATTGTAGGATTGAGCCCATCTCTTTATGGCTGTGCCACAGTCCAAATAGTTCCCTACGGGATATGCAGGCTTCATCTGCTGAGCAATATACCCATATTAGTGAATATTAGAAGTTCCCTTTTAATGTGTGATTCAGCATAATATTTTATATTTTCAACGTTAAAATTACTGCGGTAGTCCAGGGCAGTTTTTAGTAATGTTATTTGTATGTATTAGGATGAAAACTATCAAATTACGCTTTCACACATCTAACATCATAAAACGATATTCAACTGAATGTCGCATTTGAAATAAGTACGTACTTTCTTTTATACATATTTCCCATCCTGAAAAAATAATTTGGACGCTAGGAGGTGATTTGAAGCATTGACCAATTTGACAATGACTAATACCAAATTGTTGGAATTCAGTGTTTGCATTGTGGCCGTAGTTCCTGATCTAGTTTTTGTAAAATTATCTTTACATGTCTCGCTTACTACTTACTGAGTAGTTTTAGATTGGTCACTCGTCCCACTACTTGAAGAAGACTCAGTTTTTCGAGCAGCTCACATAGCCTGTGCCCCTTCATTTTTCATGTATACAGAGAAATCCATTTACCACTAATGCCTTGATGTTTACGAGAGACAAGCGTGCAATACGCATGTTAGAAAGGGATCACGTTGACTAGCAACTCGAGTGACGAGCCCACGGACGCAGCTACGGCTGGGAGAAATATAAATAGGTGTGAGCCACAACAGGCCAGTGAGTCGCAGTGTAATCGCGATTGATCCACTCACAAATAAACCTAACCGAGTGCAAACATAATTGACACAAGGATCTTTTCTCAACGATATCCCTATCAATAAAATATTACAACTTTGACACCTTGTATCTTTAATTCAGATTTTTAGGGCACATGTTTATAAGAACCTCTCTACTTACATTTGGGTCATAAATTTCCTCTTGTAATTATCACCATCATCAAGTAACAACCTATATACAGTTAATTATAATAAAGGTTTGTTTATTTCTTTCCTAACTTCCATATTTCATACCTTCAATCGGGAAACAAAGTGCAATCATTTGACTGGCTTTGCTAGAAAGAGGTATGTATTCCCAGAAGTTCTTGAGCTTCGATGATATTTTTATCTTGGTGTTAATCACTACCAAGGCTTTAACATTTAGCTATGATTTCATATTTTCCATTATGCACTTTTCAGAATAAAATAGAAGTATATTATCAGCAATTTTTTGTAATAATCGCTGCTGCAAATTGAACATTTATACTTTCATTTTAAACGTTTATGCATCTTCCAGTTGTTTTTCTAGGTCAGTTTCACCAGTATTCTGTATATTTCAAATATGTCAAAACTTTGATGTTTGTTAAAAAATTTCCCCTGCGAAATTATTTATATCTCGTCATCATTTTCATTTACCTTCAAGAAAATAATTCCATTGTAAACTCGGTCTATTCATTTTTTGTTGTAATTGAATATTTTTTGGTGTATACTGCATTTATAAGCAGCCAAATTCTATGACAAAGAATTGTTGATGCATTAGCGATGCAATGTTACGATATTGACGTTACATTTTGATAAGCAACTTATAAATAGCTATTGCATTTCCACATTCATTGACTGATCCTAATCTGTTCAATAGACATCAAATTGATAAACAAGTAACATTAACGATGATTCGTTTTTTTTTTTCAGATATGCCACTGAACCTTTCGAAACATTCTGGTTGAAGCGTGCCTTCCAAAATATCGAACAAATCGATATAGAAATATATTTTTTCTAATCTAGAACAAAGCAAGAGTTGATAAAGATTGCACCGTAGTGTAAGGATTGGTAGGGTATTTATCTTGGAAAATGAATGACTGATTTTATTATTATATAACTTTTGAAAAAGTATTGTGAATTTCAATCTACAAAAAATGGTTTTACATAAAAACGTGCTTAGCATTTAAGCGATTGAAACGTGCAATTGATGATTTCTACAAAGATGAGATCTGTAGATGAAAAAATGTATATAACAATATCTGATATTTTGTATAAACCTGTTTTGTATTATTACAAGTAAAAGAAAAAGGTATTTACTTAAAATCAGCATTAAAAGATATATCACAACCTGTATATATAACGCTGCTGTACATATTATGTGAAACATATCATTCACTATTTATTTAGACAGACTTTTTTTTATTATTTACATATTTATTACCAGACATATTTCCCCAGTGTAATTTTATGGAAGGGATGGCAAATTTATAGTAATTGATATTTCATGTTTTATTAGATTGTGCCTTGTCTCTTGCTGTTACTGTTTTAACTCATGCGAAAGTTGTCGATAAAAGTTTTTGGACAACATTTAACAACACAGTAAATGCTTCTTGATGCTTACAACGAACAACATCATTTATATGAAGAAGTGTAAACCGTTCTTCAGTATATACAGTGAGAAAATTGACAGTAAAAGGTTAAGGCAGATTTAATATTTAGATATGTGGAAAAAAGTCCGTAGAAACATGGAACCAGAAATTTCCGATTTTCCAAATTTGTACACAACTGGTTTTTGATTTCCTTTTATGTTCTGAATAAATTAATTTTTGAACGATGCGTTTGTAGATTCAATTTGCCTTTGAGATCCTGAATCTAGTTCCAGAATTTTTTTGCATATGTCAATGTGACCTTTGACAATACATTTGCTTGTACCAAAGCTTATCTCAATCTATTTTCGAAAAATGCATTTTCGGGCGCGTATAATTAATGATAAACACGGTTATTTTTTCATTTTCATTATAAATTTTTCACCCTTCCCGTATATTTTTAGACAATGATATGCATTGATAGCTATTGTTTTTTATATACAGTTTGATCAGAAATCAATTTTTGGAAAGTTCCTTCATAATGTTGGAAAAGGATACCAATATATCTGTAAATACATTAGTTATTATATATATATGCGTGAAAGTTTTCTACCATTAAAAGTAACAATGTATAAAAGCAAGTATATTTTCATATTGCGAAACCCATATATAGAAAAGATGTACTCTTTAAAAGACAATAGATAGGTGTTAGTGTTTACACATACTTTCCTTAAGGACTCTTTATTTATAGTCATTTGTGTATTATTTAATATGTAGTTTTCTACTATTGTGCCATCCGCTGCTAATACTGTTTCCAAACTCCAGATAATATAGCACATATAATTTTCTTCAAAATTGCGATAGGTAGTCGTTATACATACTCTTGACGTTACATATTTTTAATCTGATTCAATTAATAACAGCCAGACTGACGGAAATGGGTGATAATGATTTTTATGAGATGCAGAAATAAAATACTGAAATTGGCAACACAAACAAATATTTTGAAACCTAATTATATATGTTAATTTTCTGTCTGTTAAAAGAATATTTTTTAATGCTGTGTAAGTACGCAAAACCATATAAGTGAACGATACTTATTTTTCAAACATGCTTTGTTGTCTGGAGTGACTTTGATCGTCGTCGCTTGCGTCAATCAAAACGGGATTGTCTTTTTCGGTATTTGCTTGATCACATTATAATAATAGACTTTGGCACCTACTTATTGTGATATAAGTGAATATTTTGTAACTGGAGTCCAATTTGAACTGAGTATTTTATACCTGTCTTTTCTATTTTTAGCCTCTAAAAGTGTAACTGTACTGTAAAATATAAACATTTATTAGTACATTTGTTGCTTTACTAATACAGCGAGCACCCAACGAGATAATTATAAATTATCTGAATTTACGCAAAATTTGAATTACCCGCCAGCTTTAGAGCTGGATGTATATATATGATGCCAGATTAGTCTAAATTCTGTAGCTGGACAGAAATAGTGTATTGAACTTGGAGGCTTTGAGTTTCTCGTCAGTTTTGTATCAAGTATAGGCTACACGTGTACGATCCTAATACCAAACTTCTACAGATGACAATTGACAATTTTGCAATGAATTTTGTTTGCATATACAATCATCAACGAATGAAAATTCTATCAGGATTGCAGAAACATCGAAAGACGTTTTGAATTTACTACCAGATTTGTATCGGGAGTAGGCTATACTTGCCATACCTCCTCGCGGTTCTGTGATCCGATTTTGTTCGGCATGTAACACTCGGCCAATGAAAATTCCGGATCAGGGCAGTAGGAAAAGCGAGAGGTGCGTTTAAGGAGAATTTTAATCTCAAGCTAATTTTGTATGAGGTGTCGGTTGTTTCTGTGATCCTAATAGCAATTTTGTACCCATTCAGATTGATGTTTTCGTGAATTTCGTATGTAAGGGAAACATATTTACGAAAAGTTTGAATTTTCCCATCAGGCGTAGAATGCAGATGCGATACTGCCTTGCGTTTCTGATTCAGATAGCCCCCAAATATCAGTTTCAATAATTAGATGGTTTTAGAAAGATCTAAATTCCGTATCAGGATCGCAGAAACATATTTACGAAAAGTTTGAATTTTCCCATCAGTAGAATGCAGATTCGATACCTCCTTGAGCTTCTGTGTTTCGGATAGTCCCCAAATATTTAATATTGAAATTTCAGCAAGGTCTATATGATTTTCCACCTATCCAGTTTGGCAATTTTGCAAGTGATTCAGACATGCGATTCTCGACCAATGAAAATTCTCTATGAAGGCTGCAGAAACGGTTCGAGTTAATTTCGCACTAGTTTCCTGATTTTTTTTTACCCGAGTTACACTCGATCAACAAAAATGTTTTGTATTTATTTCCCGCTATCTGATTAACACCATTATATCTTATTGCATTTTAACTCCTAATCAGGACCACAGAAGCAACGAGAAGAATTTCTGTGAAGAATTTGAATTTCCATCCAAACAACGCATGGGATTGAAACGATACAATCATTTGAAATCATTATATTTGTAGTAATTACAATGAAGCTAGAAGTAAAAAAAAAAACACCACAATAACGAATTTTAAAACTTAAATTCTTTATATTTTTTCGTTTGTTTTGTAGATTCCTGTTGTTGTTGTCTCTTCCTTTTGCTCTGGAAAAAGAAAATACAATATTAATAAACAGTGAATTAAGAGAGTCATTACTTTAAACAGGATAGTATAGTAAAACACGTTTGACATGTTATAACGAAAGAAGAGTAGATGAGTGGTTACCTTCTGCTTGGCAACATGCTCAGCCAACATATCACTAAGATCCTCTTTCTGCAGCTGAGACTGGTTTTCACGCATTTGCTGTTCATACCTAACAAAAAATAATACAGATTACATATCAAGGCAAAAGTATGAATATTATTTCAATAAGAGATTTCTCAGATGATGGGGAAACATGGTTTGATACAAAATAACCCTTTTGTGTATTTTCACATTATCGTTTTTCAACTGATGTATTAGGGATATTCTTGATTTTTTCCTCATTTGTTGCAATAAACATGATAACCAATTCAATCCAGAAGAGTTCAACATTCAATCCCGTAGGTAACTTCATGTTGTAGCAATGTTTTTCGAACAGTTTGTAACAGTCAAATTCAGTTGGCAAAACTAATCATTAAATCAGTGTGCTATACAGTCGAGCAAGTATGCAAATAGCCGTGGCTCGCACTGCAATCAACATACTTTCAACCATATAAAATTTGTAGAGTAATTTCTACAACGCTTTAACGCTTCCTGTCCTAAAAGATTCTCTTCTTCCTCTTTGCTATATTGCTTATTTTTTTCTTTTCCTGTTTATTTTTGTCTGGTTTCTGGGTGACTAAACCTGACAGACCTACAAACTATCACTATGACAAAAGAGAACGGTGACTTGACGAATTATTCTTCATCTAGATGTCACTCCCTATTAAATACCATAAACTTCCGATTACACGTCGCTTCCACCGTAGGCACTTCCCAACAGCGGTTTCGCCAACTGCTGATGCATAACAACGTCATAGACTCATCCTTCTTCTCTGTTTATCTAACATACGTGTTTCCCTTTCCATCTCTCTCATGCACATTAAATACCGGACCTTCGCCCGTCCTGTAGTTGTTGAAACTTACCTCACAGCCATAGCGTCGCTATCCAAATCGAGCTCGGACGGGTCGAGCGCCAACTCGACCATTCCTTCCCTGTGATCGGGCCCCTTTTTGGCCGCAATCGCCCCAGCTTGGGTCTGAACGGCGCTCATGTCGTACACGTGGCTGCTGCCCATCATAGCGTTGCCGATGCGGTCGGTACGCTTCTCGGGGATCACGTGGTAAAGCACTGGAGTCTCACCGCTGAAAACAAACACGATGGTTAACCATGCAAACAAAAAAATGAAGTGGATTGTTGAATGAAGATGAAGTTTCCTAGTAGTAGCATTCATGAGACGGGAGACCGCAGCTTATAGGCGTCCCGACTCGTTGAAAAAAAAAGCGTAAAGTGATATCCACAATCTCACGCAAATTTTTAGACTGTACGTCAAACAATAGATTCTCCAGCCCAAAACCCTTAGATCGAATGGCTATAGGCGGATCTATTATTTACCTTCCAGTATACAGTAGCAACAGTTAAAAGAAGCTTTTTCAAATTAAAAGTAAATTATCTTGGGACTCCTACAAGACAACTATGACTATCAGACTTAGTACTTTGATGGTGGCAGAAAATCACTAAAACTGTCAACACCCCATGTTTGTCTGTCTGAATCAAACCACACATGTTTAAAATTCCTCTTTATTTTATGTATTGTCCATATTGTCAAAAGTGTCAATTGTACTTGAAAGAGGTCACCGTTGGGTCCGAAACGTCGTGCAATAAAGAGGAATTTTAAACATGTGTGGTTTGATTCGGCTAGACCAATATGGGGGATTATCAGTGTGAATACCACAGGATAAGTTTCAGATGTCACATTATCTAAAATCTTCAACTGAGGATGATTTAAAAGATGTTCTTTGAAAGAAATAGTGTCAAATAGTTTGACTCGGTACTTCTCATACATTTACATATGCCTATTGATAATGATAATGAAACTTTTTGTGCTCCGTCATACTGTTTTTAAAAACGCTCTAATCTGAATTTGCCCACCTTGGAGGTTGATTTTAAAAACCAATACTAAACCAATATGTGACTATTCATATTCAATGCAAGCGCGTCTGTTTCATTTGTAAAAATCCTTACTTTGAATTTTACCCTCCATTTTGGTGAGGGCTCAACTCCACTGCAGATGTTAATTCGATAAATGTTGACAGTGAAACAAGTGATCTAAGTAGGCTATATTAACCAACTATTAAAATTATATGTCAAAATATCTTGACCTTATGCCACTTTTGGTTCATGCGTGACAATGGTTTTAATATTTGTAGAAATGGACTCTGCCCTCACTGGACCAATTTTCAAAATTATTGTGTTAAAATTTCTTCAATATCGCAGTGGTATTCTCCGAGTTGTAGAAGGGCCAATGATAACTGATCGACTGACAGATCGACGGAAATAAATGACATACATGGTTAGGTAACATTAAATATAATGGGTGATTTTTTTGGTCGGCCTACTGAGGGAGCTATTTGGAAGCTTGTGACTAAATTTCGAACCCAGTTTACATTATTGGACATTAAACCACCAACACGCAGACGTAGAGTGAGGACTGAAGAAAATATTGCGGCTGTATCCGCCAGTGTTAGTGATGACCGTGAAATGTCGATTCGCCGCCGTTCGCAGCAATTGGGCTTCTGTTACTCCACTACGTGGAAAATTTTGCGACAGGTTTTGGAAGTAAAAATTTATAAGATACAGCTGGTGCAAGAATTGAAGCCACACGACCTCCCACAACGTTTCTAATTTGGTGAATGGGCGCTGGCAAAGTTGGAGGAAGATCCACATTTTTATCGAAAAATTGTGTTCAGCGACGAAGCTCATTTCTGGTTGCATGAGTACGTTAACAAGCAAAATTGCCGCATCTGGAGTGAAGGCCAGCCAGAAGCATTGCAAGAGCTACCAATGCATCCCGAAACAATCACTGTTTGGTGTGGATTATGCGCCGGTGGCATCATCGGGCCGTACTTCTTCAAAGACGACAATGGCCGGAACGTAACTGTGAATGACGAGTGCTACCGTGCGATGATAACAAACTTTTTTTTGTCCAAAATGGAAGAGCTGGACTTGGCTGACATGTGATTTCAACAAGACGGTGCCACATGCCACACCGCACACGAAACAATGGCCCTATTGAGAGGCGAGTTCGGTGAACAGTTTATCTCACTTTGGGGCCCGTCAATTGGCCGCCTAGATCGTGTGTTTTAACGCCGTTGGACTATTTCTTGTGGGGCCATGTTAAGGCTAATGTCTACAGGGATAAACCAGCAACGATTGACGCACTGGAAGCCAATATTGAAGCATTTATTCGTGAGATAGCGGCCGATATGTTGGAGAGAGTGTGCCAAAATTGGACCTAGCGCATCGGCCATCTAAAGCGGAGCCGCGGCCAACATTAACATGAAATAATCTTTAAACATTAAATTATATCGACCGTTCTATCGACTCAAATAACGATTTAATCGTTCTTTCAAATTTTTTGTTTTTTTAAATCAAATCCTATACCTCTTAAAAAATCATACGTTATATATTTAGATTTATAAGTCTCTGAAAGCAAACATTCTAAATATATACCGTAAATGGACCGATTAACTAGAAATCAAAAAACAGGTTTATGTTTCCAACAAAAGTCGCCTTAATCGACAATTGATTCTGACAGACACATACTTCAAGTTACTTGTTCGTGCGTTAATTCCTTGTATTCAAATAAACCTTTCGTATTTACACTACTTTTCTGAATAAATTCAATGGAAATAAAATAAAAGAGAACATCACACTCACCCTTCCATTTCATTTTCAATCTTCTTCTTCCTGAGTTCGATAGTCTCTGGCGTTTCCATACCAGCTGGTATACTCGTCAGTCCGCTGGGTGTGACCAAACCCTCAGCTGGGGTGACCAAGCCGGATTCATCTGGAGGAGCAATACTTTCCTGTTCTTCCTCCTCCTCTTCTTCCTCACTTTCTTCTTCTGATTCAGACTCTAGTTCACCCCACAGGGTTCTGTCCACGTTTGGATCTTCTCCGACATCCTATGGTGAAGAGGCGTCGGTAATTAGATCACATTACATCCAACATAGACGAAAAGTCAGTGTACATAATAATCTTATAAAAAGACTGTATGTTTTGTAACACTATTCTCCACGATACTTCATCTCGTCAAAACAAATCAACAGTGTTGAATGCTATGCTACCAAATATTAGCTAAACAGTATTTTTTAAATCTTTTTGTAGAGTTATTGTATTTAATTTCGTAATAAAAAATATTTCTATACTTTCATAGTCTCATTTTCGTTCATAAAACAATATGAAGGTATTTTAATGCTACTCGGTAGTACCACAGCAAACGCAAATTGTTATTTGTATCAAGACTGTAACCAAACTATACGAGAAAAAAAATAGTCAATAATAAAGAATAAAAATTTAGCTCACTTTCTATGAATTACTAAGAATGTTTCCAAACTTTTGTCCGCTACTGTAGGTACTAACGATCGTGATTACTTTAAAATTATGATTAGCATTTGATGGAAAAATCATGGTATGCTGTTCAATGCTGTCAGATTCACTATAACCAATGAAAAAACAATTAACTCATGCAGGCTAGAACAGGCGTCAGAAATTCAAAATGTATAGATATGTTATGGTCCAGGTATAAGATTACCTCGTGAATCGTGGTTGATACGTTATTAAATGAATTTTTGTACTGCAGTGACAAAAATATATTAATGATCTCATTTGATTGACCTGCAATTTAGAGATATATGTTTTTAGAAAGACCTGGATTTTTACTCGAATTGGAGATACAGCCTTACGCATCTCATGTAAATGGCCACTGTTCACAAGATAATCAATAACCTCCAAACAGTGCAGCTCTTCAACTATTTAGCTAAGTATGGATTATTACTTACGTCAATGTGACTGGTATGTGTACCAAAAACATCCCCGTAGAGAGGCTTTCCATTTTCATCTACAGGAGGTTTTCCCCAGCCACCAGCGTGGTAGCCAAAGGAGCATCCTTCCGGAATAGGCGCATTTAGACCAGGAATTTTGAGATTGGGATAACTAGGAGGCGGTCCGTAACGCTGCATAGCAATCAGCCATGGTGGAGGAACCTGAAAACAGAAATAATACAATCATGAATTCAAAAATAAAGGACCTAACAAATAACATGATTTTCATTCAAATCAGATCAATGCTTTTTTAGAATGATTAATGAATGATGTAGATCAGCATACAATAAGAAGAAATGGTGATACTTACTTTGTTAGCATTTGGTCCAACTGGCATGCCAAGAGCTGTACGCAATTCTTCGGTTAAATCTCCCGGTTTCTTTTCTTTGAGACGAGTTTCAAACTCTTTTCCTTCATAGTACAAATCACCATGGATTGTCATTTTCGGTTTGGTCTGCCATCTGAAAATATGACATAGATGAGCAGAGAAACATAAAAATTCTTTATTTTTTGCTAATACAATAAATTATTGAAGCAATATTGGTACTGCTAAGATAAATTACCAAGATAAAAAATATAAACTTACTTGAAAAATGCATCGTGTAGTTTTTGGTAATCGATATCAATTTTTCCTAGCTTGGGTCTAGCCCTTTCTCTCATTTTGGCTTTAAGGGTTTTGGATTCATCCTTCTCCTGCAACGAGGCTCTCATTTCCATGATTCCAGTTTTCTTTATAAAATCTGGTAAGCTAAATGGAGGTTTCTCAATACCCCTTTTTCCTTGGAGATATTTACGTTTGAAGCACCAGTGTCTTGGAACCTATTAAAAGAAACATTGTAGTAATCAATGATGAATGAATGCATTAATAAAAAAGTTTATTATAGGAAGATGGGTATTCAGGGTGTTGAATGCTGTCCTGTCAGGAATATTGAAGGTCAGATTCAGCAAGCAAAAATATAAAGAAAATGCATACAAGCAAAAGTCCACAAACATTGTAATTGCAATTTTCGCAAATCTCAAAGCTATTTCGAATCCACATGGAAAATGTATTTTGGAGTTTCTTTGTCATGTTTATTGATTGATGCACTGGTTAATAATTAAAAACTAAAATAATGTTCAATTCAAAAATGGTGCATCTGAATAAAAAACTGCAGGAGGCAGCTTTTAAGCAGATCAATCTAGCTTCAAGATGCTGATTATTTGCAAAAAATAGTTGTGTAATGTTTTTTTTGCTGCATAAAGACCTTCCTGGCATGAACGCTGATTTAAAATACAATTTGTTTCAAGAAGTGTAAGGAGTACAATTGCAGAAACTCTATATTATAGACGTGTATTTAAGCTTTTAATGCGCTGAATCTGCATTTCAATTTACTTGACAGCATTCTGTAATATCTTGTATTGTAAAGATATTTTGGAAGGGCAGCTCAGTATAGCATGGATATGGAATGGCATTTTATAGAGGCATTAGTGACTCTATTAGTGCTTTCCAAGCACACAAGAGAGCTGAATATTCTTAGAGTGCAAGGTATTTATATTTTGAATTGTCTCTTATTTGTGTTTAGAACCAGAAAACAATTCAGCGCCTATGAAAGATCTGAATGTAGCTATACAGGGCACAGTGGCCTCAATTACCCTTGACACAGACTTACAGGAATGGAAACGGGCACTACTTACTCGTGTATATTTTTTTAATGAAATACCGCAGCACATAGGGGAGGAAAATAATTTTAATAGTTTTAAGAATAGCATAAGGAATTGGAACGTTATATAATGTAGCAATCTGTAGCTCACAAATCTTAAAACAATTCAACATTTATGTGTTTTGCCATTGTCTCATTTTATTCAAAAAGAAGTGATCTGCTTCATTTGTGTTTGTATTTTTCAATAATTACTTAAGCTGCTTTAAGTGTATAGTTTGTAGATTTGAATTTTAATATATAGTGCTTGCTTGCAGGTTTTTTCTACTCGCTTGTAATTGTTGAATATAATTTTAAGAATTGAAGGATTTTTGAATTTGAATTTATCTAACAAGAATTTTCTTTAATTAAGACATGTATTCTGACTTGCATAGTTTGCGAGTTCATATGTTTGTCCCTATTAATTAATATATTAAAATGACTATGAAACTAGCAAGATATTATACAATTTGTTTAGGGACGGCCTTAATCCCCATATTAAAGCAGGAAATTTTTCATGACCTGGTTTGGCTACAAAAAGCAATTTTTCTAATCAATCCGACCGGCAAATTTTGTTCCCTGAAAGCCTCAGAGACAAAAACATAAAAAACAAACTTATCAAATTACCTGTACAGTATTTCGATGAGCCTTCAACTGTACCAACAACTTTGGATCTCTGGCAGTGACATCATGCATCTCGACTACATCAGGTCTGCTGACCAACTGTTTCAACTCAGCTACGCTCAATCTCGTCAACTTCTTCATCTTCCTTTTGGACATTTTCGTTTTATCATCCGCCTTCTTCTCTTCAGGTTCGTCACTTTCTTCCATTCCATCTTCATTGTTCGTTGCTCTGCTGGAGAGGGAAGTGGGGAGGACTAAGGTGGGAGGTGCAATGTCTGCCTTCTGTTCGGATATCTTGAATGACTCGAAGATGCTATAAAACTGCCGGTACTGAGGGGCCAGCTCGTGTAGACCAATCGTCTCTTGAACATACCTGAAAGAAGCATTAACTGTGACTGCTGCTCAAGCATCAAAAAACAATTTTTGTCAATTGAGCATGCAATAAAAAATTGACATACGCCCAAAAAGCATCGCGAAGAACTGAATCAACTAAAGTTGTACCTAAAGACCGAGATTATTGGGAGTGACTCATCGCTGGCACCTTAGACTTCCGCGGTGTGCGTGTTTTTCACGTAGGTTTGCTCATACATTTTCTTTAAAATTCGATGATAGAGAAATGTTTTCGATACGCGTCTCCTTCTGCTATCTGGGCTCAGCACCTGGCGTAGCACAACAGTCAAGTGTTCTGCTCGTACTACAGCGGTGCGTCGGTGGGCGCTGCCGCGTTTAACGATATGGGAAGCGACAACGTTGCCAGATGGAGGGTAATTACCGGAAAAGCAGGGAGAGATTATCTATGGACTAAATTTTCAAATCTGGCAACAGAGGTTAATCATCAGCAGGGAAAATTTACGCCATCAATTCTGATCTTGAGGTATAGTATAGAGACAATTTCAATTTTAAACCAATACTAAAACAAAACCAATCAGACGTAAAAGCTAAAAACTCCAACCTGCAAGATATTTTTAGTCAAAGTAACAAATTGAAGAAGAACTTACTCAATTTCTACATCATCCTTTTCCTCTGCAGTTGTTTCAGCTACACCATTTTCCTTCACTTCATCTTTCTTCTCATTCTCCTTCTGTTCGTTTTTGTTAAGTTTTCTGTCTTTCTTCCTCTTCTTCTTTTTCTTATTTCTACTAATCCTATCTTTCTCCTTTTCTTTTTGCTGGTTAGTCATTGGTTCTGGTTCAATCTCTATTTCTGTATCAATGACAGGATCCTGAAAAAGAAACAACCATTCTAATATACAGGTGTAGAAAAAGTTGATACAGTTGTTACAACAATGACCTAGAATTCGAAGGCCAACTGTGATGTTACTTTGACACAATATAACCAATTAGCTTAGCTATGTTAGTACTTCAAAGGCCATAAATGAGAAATACATATCAAATAAAGAAATTCATGGCATAATACTAACCAAATCTCTCTCTGGTTCACTAGATTTTTTATTACTTGGAGTTTCATTTGTAGTTTCCTCAGTGCCAAGTTCTAATGCCCTTTGATTCTTCAATGCTAAAACATCTTCCAGCACTTGTGGTAGTACTACATCTGACGAGTTCTCCATAAGCTGTTCTGGAGGATCGACTTTGAGAGTCAACAGTGATGGTAATTGTTTTTCTGGTGCCTGTTGCATTATAGGAGGTGGAGGTCCCATATTACCTAGTAGAAAATAGAGTGAAATAGTTTGATAAAGTTGGGAAAACAAAAATGATTCAGATGCTAAAATTTGTCATTTACCCACTACATACAACAATAACTCATTTGTATAATTTTAAATGAAATCTAAATGGGAACAATCTTTCAAATAAATTAAGTTGCTGTTTAAGAAAAATATTTCAAGTGTAAAATTATGCTTGTAAGAAAATAGGGAACATGAAAAATTATTTTTGGAAATAAGTCAACAAAAACATTAAAAAAGGTCAATATAATGTTTTTTTTTTTTAGATTATTTAACAATGATTTTAAACAGTGAACTAGATTTGAAACATATTTCTAAATATAAATTGGTATTAGTGAGTTCAGGCGTGCTTATTTTTGAATTGTTATTAACTATGATAGATGCCATGTGGTCAGCTGATCGACTAGCCTCATGCATTATAGCATTAGGAATAATTCAAATTTCAAATTATATTTTTATCATTTGTGACTATCTTTTAGTATCATCAGTCATTGCTACAATTGTAGGATGCTTTTATAGCCTCCTTGATTATCATAGACTTTTATCTCCTTCAGAAAGGCTGGGGTATTAGTAGATTTCCCCTGGTTCGGGTCAGTGTCAGCACTCTTCTATTGTGAAGTTATGTTTTCTTTTTGAATTGTACAAAATTTCAGGCTGTTAAAAAAGATGATATAAATCAAAAGCATGAACAATTTGATGCAAATAGATATTTGTAACATAATCTCAAAATAGAGCGCTGACATGGAACAGTAAAAAACTATGAAAATCAAGGATGTCATAAAGGCATCCTGTAGGAATGACTGACCATTTGACCCTTACCAACTTCCAACAGAAATTGGCAATTTAACTTGGAATATACAATATGACCTAGTAGGAATGACTCTTGGACTATACAAGTATGTAAAAGCTGTTAGGTTTGAATCTGACACTTGTCACAGGTAACCTATAATTGCTGTTCAATGTCAGTGATGACTTGGTGGTAATAGCAGTAGTAACAACCAAACACAACCAAATGAGTACTTGGGAACATTCAAACTGTCAGCCAAAACAGCATTTTCATCAAATGTATTGTTTTGATTTTTTCATATACTACTAGATGTTCCCTGCTTACACACCACATACTATTATATGTAAACCTAAAACATTTAAGAAAAAAAAAATATTGCACACTCCCTGCTTTTCTCAAAATATGTAATAATTATTCACATTAATTGTTAAAATATTGTGAAGAAATTTAAATCCATAAAAGGGCACTCTTGAGCAGGGAGTATACAATTATATTAAATAAGTGTTTGTAGGAAGAATGTTTCAACTTATATTACTGATTGTAGGTTTTTTTGTTAAAATGTTCATGGTTTCAACAACAGCAAAAAATGCAACAAACAATTTTGTTCAAGTTAATCAACAAGGCAAAAACAGAGGTACCATTTGGAAAAAGTAAAACCTTTTTTTATGATATGCCCCAAAGATTGTGACTTCAAAAAATTAAGCAAACACTACTGATAAAATTCTCTACTCCAGCCTCATGCTTATACATTCCTACTCTCATTCCAAAGACCTGTGTAATTTTATTCTGGTAAACCGAATTTTCCAAACACATGAAGATGGTCATCTACTAAGCATTAAAAATAAATATGTATTCAGATATATGTCTCTATACATTCCCAAACACAGAATTTGAGCTTATTTTAAGCATTACCAGGCAATTTAAAAGTAATCACTTTCAAGATATCATTTTTTTTTTCAGAATTTTCACCTATTTGAGGAAAAAAGTATTCTCTTTTCTGAACAGGCTAGTGTTAGTGCCTTGTTTACAAAACGAAGGGTAATGGTTATATAGAAACACAAATAGTCAATAAGAAAATTCGATTTTGAGCATGAATAATAGGTACGAATTACATACCTGGCGGGCCAAAACTTGGCGGAGGACCTGGTGGTGGCCCCATGCTGTTTGGAGGAGGGCCCATAGCACCACCACTAGGCGGAGGCGCCTGCATCATATCTGGTGGAGGCATTTGGAGCATTTCCCGATTGGGAAACATTTGAGGAGGCGGCATCTGAACAGTACATTTCATAATTGAATATTTACAGAGAATATTGGAATAGTTTGTACTTACATTCTGTTGGTCATCCATGTTTATAGGTTTTTGTAATACCACTCTCTATTAATTATGAACTGCAGTTGCTATGGGGCTCCACACTACACTAGCATATTCATATGCATTTATTTGTAAATTAATTTTTATTTAAATAAGTACTAATAAAAATCGGCAAGCCACCGCCATTCATAATACCTGTGATAATACATATTTTGACATTTGACAGTTTTCGTTTTGATTGTTGACGTGACTAGTGGGGAAGCAAATGACAGTTGCGATGGGCAAAGCTTGACATATACCTTATGTTTCCGAGAAAAAAAATGAGGCGGGGTTAGGGAGCCATATAAACGGCTTTCTCTTTAGTGATTGGTTATACAAATTTACAAATTGATCCTTTCTGACCTTACTCAATTGATAGCTGGGAATCTTTTTTTTTTAAGTTTCTATGCCACTCGAACCTTTTTTTGATTTGTGGATTTTGACGTTCGGCCTTGATTTTTGGCAAGTTCGTTAACCTAGAACAGTTTTTGCTTAAAAAAAGCGTACTGCTATTTGGATTTGGTGTTTTCATGTAATATCTAGAATACCAAAGTCCTTTTACAATCCTTCCTTGCCTCGAAGTCTTTTAAAAACACCCAGCATGCCTCGAGGTCGCGTCAAGAAAGAGGGACCAGAGTCTGGAGAAGACTCTGATGAATACAGAAAACGCAGAGACAGAAACAATTTGGTACACTTTTAGCATTTGTAATGAAAAGCACATTGTTTTTACTAAATTGTACCACTATTTTAGGCAGTAAAGCGCAGTAGAGTGAAATCTAAGCAGCGTACACAAGAGACGATGAATCGAGTAAACGAATTGAGAAATGAAAACATTATACTTGAAGAAAAAGTTAAAACACTTACTAAGGAGTTGGGATTTCTGAAAGAATTGTTTTTGGCTCATGCATCCAATACAGCAAGCAAGTCGAAATTTGATGGAGTTGATTTACAGAAACTATTGGCTGATACAACAGAGTCATCTAATAGTAGCAGTGTTACAGACAGTGCAAATGCTGAAAACACTTGAATATTGCCTGAATGATTTTTGTTTTGGATCTTAATGTCGTTATTTGTTACTATTATGTACCTTTAGAGTTAGGTATTATTTTTATATTATAAGGCATATAATTATCTTTGATTTTTTTTAATATACTGATTAAAATGTGATGTACAGGTTGGTAAAATATAGAGATTTTTGATACAAAATCTGCCTCATTTCAGCACATTGATAACTCTCTGTGCACTTTTAAAAAGTTACAGTGTATATTGAAGAAATAAAATGTATTCTTTAAACCTGTCAATGCATTGATATACGAGTATTGCTGAACACAGCTTTTATCAATTTTTTTTTGTTTGCTATAGAAGACCTTCTTGCAAGCTTTTGACTCGGTTGCCAATCCCATCAAAAACAGTATGCAAGTAGGCAGCATTTGCTTTTGCAATTTTAAACCTATTTCAAAAGATACAATTATGCACATGATATAATAAAGTTGATTGAATCGAATAATCAATGTTTATTTCAAACAGTAACAAAATAAATACTTCTCAAGTAAATCAAACCACCCGCAAAAAAAATCTATGTATACAGTTGAACAAAATCATTCCTTATAAAAATATAGACATTACTCTGAAATACTATTAATTCTATTCCAAGTTATTTTTTATATACTGCATTATTTGATGTAAGTAATCCTTATTATCATTTTCACTTATAGTATCTATCTGTAATACAATTTCATTACCTAAAATACTTATATCACAATTAAATTCTATTAGGGGCTCAGCATCATCAGATATTTTCAGTTTCTTCACAAAATGTCCTTCAATCTCATTTTCATTCACTCTTTTACCAGGTGACTTCACATCAGTCTCAATTATTTGAGACACTGGGCTAGGAGGTTCTTTAATATCATTATTATTTTCACCAGAATCATTTGCTTTCCTCTTCTCTTCCCGCTTTTTCCTTCTTTGATGTGACCAAGTGTTTTTGAAGGCAACTACCAAATAATGGATACTGTTCTTCTTCTTTAAGATTGTTTGCAAATTCATTTCAAGATCAACAAATATTTTCTGCAACTTCATATCAACAGTATGAAGCTTCTCCATATCTACTGTATTTGTTTTTAGTGTATATATCAAAGGCTTTTTTGGTTTGTTAGGCTTTACAGCTGCTTTTGAAGGGTTTATACACTTTTTCAGATCAAAATTATCACAAAAAGTCCATGCTAGTCCCCATCTAGTTGTGTTCCCCTGACAAAATTCTGCTTCACTGAAGCTCTTCACTTCGGTTTCCCTCAATAACTTTTTTAAAGGTGGAAGTGAATTTTTATGACCAATCATAGTTGAATAAATCTTAATTTTTGTACCAAGTTCTTTACTTTCATTTATCAGTTTTGTTATAAATTCCACCTCCCCACCTTGTACAACAACTTCATTTACAGTTGCGCAAAAAGAATTTTTTGGGCGAGGTCTACTTGTCTTTCTTGCACTGTAATATGGGTTGAGTTCATGAACACTACCAAAGAAAGGTGGGTTGCACATACAGAAATCAACCTTTTCAGTATCTACCTCTTTCAATAAGGTATCCTGACTGACTTTAATTACTGTGATCAGACTATCCATACCATTGTGCTTAACATTTAATTCAGCACATTTTAAACTTTCGTCATCCACTTCTGTGGCTAACATTGACCATTTATTCTTTTTGGCAGCTATCAAGGGGTAAACGCACGAAGCCCCAGTGCCAATATCAATCCCCTTGACTGTTCCTTTCTCGTTACTGAGGCTGAGAAGGTCCTCCAACCATAAAATGTAGTTCAAACGTAAGGGTATAGTTGGAATGAGCTTGTTTAAAGGCATTTCTACATCCAAGCCGAAGTCTTTCTTCAACAGGGTCTGTGATAGTGCTCGGAGACATTTGGTATCTTTGAAATCCAGAGTCAATTTACCGGTGATGTCTAGTTTTAGGAATCCTTTGAATTCCGGAAACTGTGCAGCTAGTTGTTTGAAGTCTGGGGGTGTTTTGTATATATTTCTAGGGTGCATGTACTTGTTCATTGACATCTTGACTGGAATTTCTGGAAAATCGACAAATTCACAAATTTGCGTTTATAAAAACTGTTAACCTTGCTTTTTTGATTTCCCTCCCTGTCACCGTCACCCAGAAAACGCTGTCACTGCTGTCAGGCTGTCACCTCTATCAGGAGGCTTAAGGGGTGTTCTCGTGTTTGCCTAAGCTCATTTATAACATTCCTGATTACACCTATGACGTCACAGAGCGATTCGGGTGCTTGCAGGTATTATACGATCTTTCAATTTTGTAATTTTAGTTAAAACATATAACCAGTGCAGCAAAGCTTCCAGAAACCATCATAAACATGAATATTTGTTATCTTTTTATGTACATTAGAATTTTGATCGCAGGTGCGAACTTTACCCAACGAAGTATATTCCACGTACAATAATAGGCGATTCAGACACATTTTGATTTTTTGATTTCTATTAGTGAGTTTGTGTCAAGCAGATTAACCTTGCATTCCAGGTATTTATATTTTCATAATTTGCTCTATGTTTCAAGGGTAGTTGCGACTTATTTTACAATTTGTGTGAGGTATAAACAAATTGAGACTTACTCTCGAGCGCTTTTTATTCTTCGTTTTTGGCCTGTTTCTCCGGGCCAAGGATTAGCGGACAGACAGACAGACATTCCCACAGAGAGACAAACCGACGGAAATGAGTGACAGGGTTTTTCGTTATGTACAACGTGTCATACAATACCCAAAAACGTAATATCTCATTTTCGAATTTTTTCGTGATTACAATACTTCCTCGCTTATAGTGGTGTAATAAGTAAGAAACACTATATATGTGTTATTCACTAGTCTATTTAATAATCATAGCAGTGTAGCTTATAATCTGTGGTGTCATAGCTGCCATCAGCTGTCATTTTCAGTCATCACCATTCCCATCATTCACTTCTAAATTCTCAGCTAATACAACTTAAATGGAGTCTCGCGAACACCTTGGGCACGTTAAGATCTTTTAGCTATTTCTATAGTTCTAAAGATTAATCATTTACAGATATTCGTACGAACAAATTCTGCAAGTGGTGAAGTTTCTCAAACTAGTCGTACCCAACTTCAAACCATTAGTAGGCGTAATATGCGGTTCAGGCCTAGGTAAGTATAAAAGATGCACTTTCTGAATATTCAAACGGATATAGATCGGTAGAAAAAATATTTTCGATGACAACGGCTGTTGTGTGCGTGCAATTAAACATGGATGAGTGTCGCTGCGTAATCGATCAACTACTTGAAAAGTCATTCTCCTTGTATAATTTTTAAGAAAAAAAGGAGATCATTGAAAATGGAAGACTAATACCTATTTTAATTAATATTTTTTAAAAAGGAATAAAAAAACGTGGTTTGATATTTTAAATTAAGTTGGTATATGGAAACTCTTGTTTATGTGGTTGCCAAAAAACAGATTGTATTGTTGGAGATGTCTTCTGTTTTATACAGAAAAAAATGGGTGGACCAGCAGCGGAGTCAACGATTTAAATAGTTTTAGGGCTCTAAAGAGGAGACATGAAATTTCTCCGTTACATGTGAGATATGTAGCCAATTTAATTCAGGAAAACAGTAATTACCGTTCATTTTCAAGGGGATGACTCTGACAATAGAGGAAATTACAGGGAATTGTTAATATTCATTGCCAAAAAAGATCAAACATTTTCCGAACAACTAGAAACGTCGACTGTTTTTTCGGACGGCTTGGATTAGTCATATCATAAGACGATGAGGTATAGGTATCAAGTGCCCCAAACCCTCAGTCCAGGAATATTTACCTTAATTTAATAATAGTTTAAATAAAATACCTAAAGTAAGCAAAAACGTATATTTGGGATGTTCCAAATAAACTTTTTTTAATAAGATTGTTCACATCTGGCTTTGGTAACAGTTTAGGAAAATTCACGCGTCGCCACTGTCCGGCAGCTGAATCAAATCCCATATACTGTACCTGTATAATCAGGCTTGTTCAATAACCTAGATCTCATAGTCTAAAGCTACAGTAGAATACCAAAATTGATGACAGTAGCGAAACTCATCGCATGCCTCTGATATTACGCGGAGGCCTTCGAAAATGCGGCGCTTCTTTGTAAAATGTCGGTAAACGTCGCTGTAATCAAAAGGTACAGCGTCAAAGCAGTGGCGCACGATGACTTCTGCTACTGTCATCAATTCTGGTATTTGACTATAGGTGGGGACTGCTGGGCACACAGGCAGCTTGTGGCTTGCGGATGAAGGAGCCCCAGGCCAGATTAAATACGGGGCGTTATTTTGCCGTTGTGGAGAATTGAAGAGGGGGATGGGAGATATTTTTTTCGTTTGATTTCTAGGTATTTGGAGCCCCCAGTGAAGCCCTGGCCCTGGTCATGGTCCCTCTCTCCCCATAGGGTAAATTCTAAAAAAGAGGCAGTAGCCATGGAATAGCTTCGCCAGCTTGACAGCAGCTTTCACTTGGCTGTTTGATATGACAGTTTGTTGATTAAGGCCCGTATCGCCAGTCGTCCCTACAATTGTAGGGCGCCTTTATGGCCTCCTTGATTGTCATTAGTTTTCTACTTCTCCGTGTCAGAACTCTATTTTGAGGTTATGTCACAAACATCTGTTTGCATCAAATTGTGCTTGCTTTTGAGTTATATCATGTTTTATCAGCCTGAAATTTCCTACAATTTAAAAAGAAAACATATCTTCACAATAGGAGAGCGCTGACGCTGACACGGAACAAGTGTAATCTAGAAATTTTTGAAGGAGAGAAAGGCGTATGACAATCAAGGAGGCCATAAACGCGCCCTACAATTGTAGGGACGACTGACGATACGGGCCTAAGTCACACTGATGGAAGGGCGGCGATCTTGCTCTCTTCTAACGCCATGTCATAATGCTTTGCTCCCCAGGAGCCTGCCAGCTAGAGCCACTTGACTTCGGCCTCCCATCCTAACCATATCGAACCTCGTACATCCAGAACTGGCCGATACAACCGCTCCTTTGTCCCTAGGGGATCGGGATTGTGGAATAGTCTACCCGAAGAGGCTTTTTCCAGTTCGACTAACCTTAGGCAGTTGAAAAGTCGGGTTAACATAGTTTCTTCAAGCTCCTTATTGCAGCCGCGGTAGCTTGGTATTTAGACCTACTCGGCTGCTTCGCGAGCGCGAGAGAGTTGTAGCATAATGGCGACCGCCAGCCACGGTGGGGAATCACTGAAGGCATCCTTGACTAAGAATTAAAAAATGGCGCCATGTAGGTTGACTTTGCACTTTCCACGCAATGCCGTCAGCAGTACAAGTGCGACCCTCTTAGAAAAAAGTTGGTTATGGTTACGAATATTCATAATAGTGGAATTTAAAGGATCAAGCCAGTCAAACTGGCCCACAGAATCAATCCTTAGACATTCTTTCCCTGCACTACCGGTAGTCCATCTAACAATGTCGCCTCTTCCCTATACCGCAAATCGCGTCAGATCAGGCAGCGCGACAGTAATCCCAGAACAATTACCTAGACAGGCATGCCCGCCACTGATCCCAGACAGTAGAAGCAGGAGCGCGTACCCCTAAAATATTTTTCAAAAATGACAGGAAAGATCCTTTCACAAGAGTGAAACGTCAAAACCCGAATTTTGAACGTTTTTTTTTTCGTTTCTGGCATTTTTCCAAAAACTACAAAGCTTTACATGCCCTTGGCACATTAATAGCCTTGTGATGAAACCGAAACTTTTACCTAAGGAATATGATATGGGATATGGGAGGCTGGTACCTTCCAATGGGAGATAAGATAGTGTATCTCCAAGAAAAAACAAACTCAGTCTTTGTCAATTATTATTAGTAGTGATAGTATCAGTTTATTATTAAATAAAAAATAAGGCTTCATTAAAGTAAATGAAAACGGCACTACGTTTGTCTCTTAAAACACAAAAAAATGTCTTTTTGTTTCCAATATTTTAAAGGATGATTTGTGACTCCTTGAACTAATAAATAGAAGCATTATTATTCAAACACCAACAACAAAAACTACTTCCAAGAGATTAGTAACCGTGGCATTTTTTGGAAAATTTAGTTTGTACGGAATGTTCTGGATATTCTGCCTGAAATTGTCCCTGAACTGGAATTCCTCATTTGTAAGTGCAAAATCATACGAACGTAGGTACAGTAGTTTGTCTGCTAAAACCGAAACTCTGATTTTGGACCGAAACCGAAATTCGATTGGACGCTAATAAGAAGTACAAAGAGAGTTCTTTTTTGTTTCCAGGCCCTCTGGCGGACAGCCTCAGCGACAAGATAGAAGTACCATACGAAGACATCCCTCTGTTTCCCGCGAGTACTGTCGTTGGCCACGGAGGCAAATTGGTGTTCGGCACAGTGGGAGGAGTACCGGTGATATGCATGAAGGGCAGATTCCACGCGTACGAGGGGTACCCGCTATGGAAAGTGGTTATGCCGGTCAGGGTGATGCGCCTTATGGGGGTTGAGTATTTGATTGTTACCAATGCAGCAGGAGGTCAGTTGACATGTTGTTCTAGTATGAACATAATTCAACATTTCTGTCAAGGAATAATCTTTGTTTAATGCGCTTAGCAAAGATATGAGGAAAATATATCGGAAGAGAGATTTTGAAATGAGAGGTCTGTAAATTAAGTGATGAGACTGATTTTTTTTATTAAAATATAATTGCAATTTAATATTGTCACCCTAAAAATAAGTTCCTTCTGAAGCGACACAGCGCTAGAGACGGTTCTTCCGCTCCTCATGCCAGTGATGGAATTCCGATACTGCAATAGTCAGTTGTTCTTGATCTGATGAACGGTGGTGTGAGTCAAATTTAACTCTTCCCCGATCATTCTGACTGCCAACCGACAATCTGAACGTACGAGATCCCGATTCTGCCGATATTTTTATCGGTTTTTGAAGGCTTTCCGCCTCGTGGTGCATCTTCAGTCGACTCCATCCCTTCTAAAAATGCCTTAAACCACCGAATAACCTGGGATCCAAGTCTGAAGCAAAACCTTATAGCACACCGTTGCTTGAAATTGATGCCATTAATGTTTAGAACACAATAGGAAAAATTGTTTCTCATAAAAAATTGCGATGGACAACCAATAAATGACTCGAGCAAATTCAAACTTATACTGAAGGCGGATCACATGTTCCCCTGTCTCCCCTCCAACCGCGCCGTCTCCAGGGTTGCCAGATCAAACGCTACGTGAGCCCGCGTAATTTATAATAATATCCTCTAACATGCTTTGAGATTTGTCATTGCATGTTTGAATAATATTTTGGAACTACGGCGATATTAAAATCTTCATTTCGTATTGTTTATTTCGGTCGAAAATGGAATATTTCGTGTATCAACTTGAAAAGAACCTCGTTTGTTTAAAATGACAAAAGAAACTTATAACATGTCATCTTGCATACTGGGTAGCTTTTAGGGTGCAAACAGTCACTCCACGATTGCTCACTATGATCGTTGTGAGCGTCCATCTATGGAGGAATGACTAAACTACACGCATTGTTGGTTGCGTATGATTTGTGAAGCCGAATAGTCTGTAGTTTTCATCTCTGAGAAGAAAATTGGTTGAATAGCAAGATCGCATCCGGATGATTATTACTGAATATGCTGCCAATGAAGTTATATCTATTAGCTATAGCCGACGGGTTATTTATATGTTTAAAGTTATAAATTACGATTTTTCCCGTTTTTTTGTGTTTTCAAAAACTTTGATGTGCACTATGAGAAATTGCCACCGCGCCCGCGTTGTGTGAAATTAAGCCACATCACAGAAAAATTAGTAATGACACGTCAAACATTTTCGCAATGCCTCACATCGCAAAATAAATTTCTATAGAACTTGAAGAAATAATAATAATAATAATAAAAATGACTGGAAATAAACAGTAATGTAATCCTTTTTACTTTCATAAATATTCCTGTCTGTAGCATGTTTTCTTACCTGTTCCTTCACCAACCAGGGATTTTATTCTTATCTTCCTCATTTTGAAATCCAGCAAATTTGCATATGTAATTTCCATTCCAGAATTAATAAGAAAAAGTGGATGCGCAACTAATTTCTGAATAGCTTTGAATCTCAAGTAAGTGTATCTTAGACAAGAGTCCATTGGAATTATCATCAACACATATTATTAGCACACAAATCCTCACGACGCGCCTACGCGCTGCCGTATCATTCTAGCTATAGTATACAACTTACAGCTTAGATCTACAGTAATGCCATCTCTGAAGCAGATTTTACATCTCATCAGAGACAAACATTGATAACTGAAGCATCATGACATTTAGGCGACACGTACAACAAAACGAATTCACAACAAGTGTCCATCAGCTAGTGCTAAGTTAACATAATGTCACAAAAAACCAATACAATATAAAAAAAATCGACATAATGTCACTTTTCAAGATACGTAATACCCGTGCCGTTCTTTCAGGTATACCTTCGTCGATGAACGTAGGCGACATAATGATAATCAAGGACCACGTTAACATGATGGGCATGGGTGGACAAAATCCTCTGAGGGGCCCCAACATTGAAGAATTCGGTCCTCGATTCCCAGCTATGAACAAAACCTATGACAGAGCATTGGTGAAAGCAGGCTTGAAAATAGCCGAGAGTCTGGGAATGGAAGATATGACTCACGAAGGAGTCTATGGTTGCGTTGGAGGACCTAATTACGAGACCATCGCAGAGTTGCTGATGTTGCAGGTATCTTTGTTAGTGCAATATAGAATAGGATGGCAGTGGGTTGGACTTATATACAATATACAATATTGGTAGGGCATATAGTAGATCGATTCTGAGGTCGAAGTGAATTCCGCAACTATTCATCCACTCCTCATTCTGATTTCAGATCCATGTTGAGGGAGAAAAATGCATGAAAAATTTACACGTCACTTTTTTTATGTATCTATGTTATTAGTACCGCAGAGATAATACACTCTTTTATACTTTTCAGAGCTATCTGCGGCAGCGCCATTTGGAGAAAGTGTTCCTAACTAAGCACCATAAACGTTCATTCCTTGCACATAACACGTATAAAAAATAGCAGTTTTATATTAAAATTTGAATCGCCATTAAACTATACACAATGGCAATCTAAATCAATGTTACATGTTACCACTTAAACATTGCTATTTCTACTCTGGACATCCAATGCTCTCTTTCAGTATCAGACGTTACACTATTGCTTCCAAATGAAGGTGCTCGAGACGGCCACTTTCTGAGCTCTTTTTGACTCTTCTGCTGTTGAATTAGCTACTGTTCGCTCGCATATCAAATCCTTACTGTCCCATAGAAACACCTTTTAGTGTTGTCAAACTATAATCTCTTCCACGTTGCACAATTCTTCCATGATCGAAATAATACTATACTATATAGCAGCTTCTTCCTACGCTGCTGCTTCGGTATACAAAAATATATCCTCTTCATTTCCTGCAAAGGTGTTGCTTGATACTGTTTCACCACTTTTATACATATTAAACAGCTAAAGAATCACAACATTTCTGTTTCTGAAGACAACACTGGTCGGGCAGGGTTGTTCCGTAAAGAATCTATATCTCAAAAAAATCAGTAAAATCTCAACTTGTGCACTAGGTAGCCGCTAGTGTGCCAGTGGTTCAGTCCGCGCCTACTGCAAGTGAGCGTGAAGTGAATGCCAACTAGTTCGAAGGTGACATTTTATAGGAAAACCTACATGTCAAAAAAAAAAAACGTACATAATGTCATGAAAATCGATATAAAGTCACTTTTTACGTTACGTCATACGAGTGGTGATATTCTTCGACACTTCAGACTCTAAAACTAGAAATCATGATCTTGACATTTCAAACAGTAAAATACCAATGCATTTTTAATACATTGAGTACGGATCGCTTTCTTCAGTGGTACTTAAAGCCGAGTATAGAGTGATGTGTGGTACTCACCCACCCCTGGGCCCGACCCTGTTGTCCACCAGCATTTAGACTGTATGAGATGACAAAGAGTCAAGCTGCTTGACGGCATTATTTCCAGTCATGCGGAGTAGACTCGGTTGGTATGTCAACAGCCCACGAGGTGATTGCAGCTGGACATTGCGGCATGAAGGTGTTCGGCTTCTCTTTGATCACCAATAAGGCCATCTTGGACTACGACAGCTCCGAAGTTCCCAACCACGAGGAAGTCATTGCTGCAGCCAAGGCCAAAGAAGCTAAGCTTCAGGGTTTCACGGAAGCTATGATCAAGCACATGGGTAGTTTGAAGAATGCAGGTAGGTGTCAGTTCGCCGACGAGCATGCCGTCGCCCACGGTCTCGCAAAAAACAAATCACTTTCAATTCTTCATTTTTATTAACATACAACCTGTCACACATTGCAATGCAAGTAATCACGGTATCAAATTTTCAATAGCTGGCATTGGTAACAAAACAGCTTCTCTATCCATGAAATACAAGCTCGTGAATTTCTTTTTTCAATTTACAACATTGAGGATTGCGTAAATATTTAGCTGAGCCTGGTCTGTGTCCCAAGCGTTTTGTACGTGATAAACAAACCTATGTGGTGCATGATGGAAATGTCCAGAAAAACAATTAGAATACGCTCGCAAAACAGCAACAGTATCCTAATAACACTCAACATAAGGTCGCATCGTATCGACCAGCTTTTTATTAACCAAACACGATGTTTTCGTTCGCCTGTCCAAAAAAGACAGTCAACCATGGACATCTGTTTCGTTCTTCTTGGCTACTCATCAGCATGGTCCAGGCTTGGTCTTTTGTCTCTGGAGGTACACCAAAATCGACCACTGCTGAAGGCGCTTAGCTGCTATTAGTTGGTACTGTTAGAGATCTTAGCTTGCATAATAGTTTGCTGTTGCTATAGGAGTGTACCAGTTTCGGTTTTATTAAATCGGATATATAAACAAACATCACGATTTACCTACACGGCGATAGGGGTAGATTCTGCCGCGGGTCGTATGTTTCCACTTATCAATCTGCTGAATCTGTATGTTTTACTCAGAAAACTTCGTGAAGGATGGAGGAACTGTGTTAAGGAAACTCCCAAACGTATGGCCACCCTGTGTGCATGGTTATTGAAACGTTAGTTTTTTTGCAGGACCTCCTTCTATGTGCAGTTGCGGTGGAAGACGTTAAACTTCAGAAAAGTGTGTCTTAATTCGTACTTGTTCGATAAACCTTCAAGGAAAGCGAAGAAAAGGAAAGGGAATTGTCTGGAGGATTCCTTGCTACATAATCGAATGAAATGACGTGCCACGTTCGAGGTATGTAAATGAGACATGTCATCGCCGTTCATTTCGCGTCATCGTGCCTTAGTGGACGGGCATCTTTATTATTTTTTAATTTTCATATCTAAACGATGTATCTTGTTTAAACTATATGTAACGAATAAAAACAAGCATTCGACCAAGAATTATGAATATAATACTAGAAATAAAAATAAACAAATAAAAAATGTTTGTAGTCAATTTTATCCGTACAATGATTTTGTTACATGACACATTTATCCACATGTGTCTTCAATTATTGCAACACCAAAAAAGAAAATAACGTTGAAACTATTTATATACTTATGTCCAAAGTTAACTTATCAATACTTATATATTAGAAAAAACTGAAAATCATTATGAAAAATAGATTTATACGAGTGGCTATTGAATGCAGATATAAACATGATGTAATTTATTAAAACTCTAACACGTAAACATCTCTTCGGCTTGACTAATCTATGAGACCAAATTAATGTATTACATTTATATTATACAGATTTTTTGTAGTCTATATCAACCAATTTATTGTAACAACAGTGTTATACAGGGTGTCCCAGAAGTCGACGTCAAGCCGAAACCTGGTGATAGGCAAAGTCATAACAGCTATCAGAAAAATATTTAAAAAAATTTTATGTATGTTTTTTTAAAATTATAGGTCTTTGAAAAAAATATAGAAATTTCACACCCTACGGCAGTCTGTCAACTCCTGTTACTGCAAATATTAAATTTTTTTGGATTTTATTTTTACAATGTAATGATGGAATCCTTATTAAATGCGCCAACTTTTAAGGTTACTTGCCAAACTCTCGTAGTACATTTTTTTCCAGTACAGCCAGTTAAAGTTGAGCAAAGTTTTACTTTGGAATACTTGGTTGGGAAATAAGTGACAATTTTTCCTGAACGAGAAAAGTTGGCAGTAAGGTTGAGACACCAGTTTGAAGATGCATTATTCATCATTACATTGTAAAAATAAAATCCAAAAAAAGTTAATATTTGTAGTAACAGGAGTTGACAAACTGCCGTAGGGTGTGAAATTTCTATATTTTTTTCAAAGACCTATAATTTTCAAAACACATACATAACATTTTTTTAAATGTTTTTCTGATAGCTGTTATGACTTTGCCTTTCACCCGGTTTCGGCTTGACGTCGACTTCTGGGACACCCTGTATGTGCTAGAATGATATCAACACAGAAGTATATTTTCCTTTTGGTGGCATATCAATTTATTCACAGTTTATAATTGATGTGAATAAATACGAGCCCCTTCCCACTTCAGTTGGCCCACTTCAAGATTTGTACCAAAATATGCCTTTATAAACTAAACATGACGAAACTATTTACTTCTAAAACAATTTATTTTCTCAAAAGCATTTTAGATACACTCTAGTCGTAAAAAATACATATTTGAAATAACTTAGACCTATAACTAATAGAACATCTGCACAAATAAACAATGTTCGAATAAATGCGCGAAGTTAACAAAGCAACAATTGAAAGATTACCATTGGGTAACATCACCTTTATTTTTTATTACGGCTGAAATTCTTTGGGGCATAGTGTTAACCAAGTTTTGGCAAAAATTTGGTGTAAAACAATCCCATATTTCTTGAAGCTTTTGTCTCAGTTCGGTGATTGTACGAGCAGGATGTTGTAGAACCTTTTTCATCTCGTGCCACAAAGTTTCAATATGTGACAGATCTGGACTGCTAGAATCCCATTTCAAAAGTGGTACATTATTTTCTTCTATCCATTTTATAACCTTTTTTGAGGTATGGCACGCTGCACCATCTTGCTGAAACACAAAATCTTGGCCGGATGTCAAACATTCTTCCATCACTGGTAAAAGCGATTCTTCTAAAATTGCCAATTGTATCCACATTTCTATCAATAAAATGAAGTTTTCCTACTCCTTTGAATGACATATTGCCCCAGACCATAATGGATGCTGGAAATTTCACTTTTCTCTTCAGACAGTCAACATGGAATGCTTAATTTTTTTGCGAATAACTCTACAGCGACTGTCACCAACACAAACTTCGAATCGGGCCTCATCACTCCATTGTATTGCACACCATTGTTGAAGTGTCCATTGTCAATGTTCTTTAGCCCATCTAAGCCGATTTTTCTTTTGCAGTGGAGTTAATAGTGGCTTTTCTTTGGCCTATAAACAAGTTGTGCAACTTTAGGGCTTTTACTTCACTTTTTTTTATAAGAAAACTTACCTTGCAAGTGCTAAATCCCAGTTTGTGGGCCTCTCTATGAGTTGTGGACCTCGAAATTCTCCTTCCAACAGCGTCACTCCACAGTGATATTTGTTATGTGAGAAAATATTACTGAATATGCTGTAAATGAAGTATATCTATTAGCTGTGCCCGACGGGTTATTTATATGTTGTATTTTCTGAAGATAGGTTATGTTATAGTTGTAAATTACGATTTTTCCTGTTTTGTGTGTTTTCAAGAACTTTGAGGAGAATTACGGGAAGTCACCACCGTGCCCGCGTTGCGTGCAATTAAGCCACATTACAGAAAAATTAGGAATGACGCATCACACTTTATTTCATTTCATTTTATTTATATCTTCTATTGACATCGCAAAATAAATTTCTACACACTATACATTTAGTAGGTGAAACTTCGTTTAAAAAATTCATGTTGAATCCTAGGAGGATACAACAGTCACTTAAATTTTACATTTAAAGTCTGCACATCGGTGCGAAATTTTATTTTATTATAAAGTTATATGGGCTGTTTAGCAATTATTAATCTATGATATAAACAAGCCGCGTGCAATACCCGTCTGTTATACAGCCATCCAACATCAGAGACTGCTTGGTCTGCGTATACCATAATTAGTCTTAGGCCCGTATCGTCAGCCGTCCCTACAATTGTAGGGCGCGTTTATGGCCGCCTTGATTGTCATAGTTTTCTACTTCTCCATGTCAGAGCTCTATTTTGAGGTTATGTCACAAACATCTATTTTCATCAAATTGTGCTTGCTTTTGAGTTATACCATGTTTTATCAGCTTGAAATTTCCTATAATTTAAAAGGAAAACATATCTTAACAATAGGAGAGCGCTGACGCTGACACGGGACGAGTGTAATCTAGAAATTTTTGAAGGAGAGAAAAGAGTATGACAATCAAGGAGGCCAGAAACGCACCCTACAATTGTAGGGACGACTGACGATACGGGCCTAAATCAAGAATTTGGCACTTTTTGAATTTTTTGTTTATAAACAGATGTTAAATGGTAACCTTATACAACATCAGCATAATTTAGAATTGATAGAACCAGACTGTCACATAGAATTATTTTAGTTTTCTTACAAAGATAACTTCTCTTAACATAAATCAGCTAAATCAGCTTCAAAGCTGTAGACTTTTTTTGCTCTCTACGAACATCAATAATGACTGATGTCCAGGATACGCTGTCGGTAAATATCACATTCCATGATAAATACTTTTGGAACAGTAAATACTAATCCTATAACATTCGCCTTAAGGGCAGCCTTTTCATCCTAACTCCATCTTCATCAGTCGATAAACAACTGGTTAAAAAATGGTGAAGGGACACGGTCACTATAACGATTATAACAGGCACATTCACCATTTTTTAAATTATATCTGCGGATGTTAGATTTGCGTGTCAACAGCCCATGAAGTGATCGTAGCTGCCCATTGCGGTATGAAGCTATTCGCAAGCCATTTTGGACTACGACTCCCAGGAGATCCCTAATCACGAAGAGGTTGTAGCTGCAGCAAAGGCCAATGAAGACAAGCTGAAGACATTTACGGAGAACAAGGTCAACTATATCGGGGGCCCTACGGATCTGGCTTGTGCGGCTTCTGGCGAAGGGACGACTGTAACTTCGATAGCTGAACCGACCGAAGCTGTAGCACCGATAAAGCAGTTCGTACCAGGTGTGACTTATTGCTTTTACAGGTACTTTTCGGAGCAAGAAGTGGCTATAGCGAAACCGCTATAGTGATTTATGGATCTCCCAGTTCTGAAATTGCTATTAACAATAGGCTTAACATGGATCATGTAAACGAGCAATATTTTTGTAGCAATATTTGCCAACTATGGCATGACCATATTGTAGTATATGACCAGGCTATTTATCTCTCCTATATCAACTAAATTGGTACATAATAAAACCCATTGTAATCAGACCATCTTTATTTGTTTTTTATAATTTACTCGCATACCTAAAGTTTTGCTTTACATATTTTTGCGGACCTTGCAAATCTTTCTAAGCAGCCTGCTTTTCGGGCACCAGATAAGAGTGCTATTTTTGAGGAAAAAAGGTCTTACAAGACATACCGTACTTTGAGTTTTTTGAGGAATGTATTTTAGTAGAATTTTTGAAGCTTTTGGAATTATCTTAACCTGACGGAAACTTTTCATTGCAGGTGTTTGTCCTACAGCAATAATTCAACCATGTCCTTGTGCCTCAACTGCTAAATTCCATCCTTCCCAACCACCTGTATATTCTGCTGAAAGCGTATCGATACAAGACCTTGGAGAAGACGAAGGAGATAAGGAAGCTGCCGATGCTGAACCAACAGAAGAAGTGGGGGATGCTGGTGAAGCCCCGGATGCCCTTTCTGAAAAAGCAGCTGCCGAAGAACTAGCTGAAGGTGCAGAAGCTCCTGCTGAAGAACCAGTTGAAGCTGCAGAAGCACCAGCTGAAGCTGCAGAAGCTCCTGCTAAAGAACCAGCTGAAGCTTCAAAAGCTCCTGCTAAAGAACAAGCTGAAGCAGAAGAAGCTCCTGCTGAAAAACCAGCTGAAGCTGAAGAAGCTCCTATAGATGAACCGGCTGAAGCAGTAGAAACTACAGCGGAAGAATCTTAACCTCCTGCAGAAACTACTATAGAAGATGCTGCGGTAGACCCCGATGCTTCTGAAGCGCCTCAAAATCACGATATGCAATCTCAAACTGTGGAAGATAGAAGAGAACAAACATAAATTGCAGTTGAGGCAGTAGATGAACCGATTCGAGAAATAGCTTTACAAATTGAGGAAGCTACTACTGAGGATGGGGTTGCAATACAGACGCTTCCAGAAACTGCTGAAGCTGAGGTAGGAGTGGAGGAACCGCTTAGTGAAGAACTTGTGGAAGAAGCAACCTAATCTGTGGAAGCGTCCACTGGAAGAACCGCTGAAAGATTCGAATGTGGGACCAAACACACCTATTGAACCATCAGAACCACCTGTACAGCAGACACGAGTAACGACAGAGGAACCTTGTATCCCATATTTCAAAAAACTCCATGTTCGTAAAAGAGGCGACAGATGTCCAACCACATGCCCTCCATCGAAGAAGTAGAATGAATAATAGCGAACACAGAAAAAGTAATGCATTCGTTAGTGAGAGAAGGATTAATGAGGCAAAGCTTTTTAGCCTAAACGTAGTGTATAGTATCCAAACATGTACGTTATGACTCCATTAAATATATATGACAAATGTTGGTTTTTAATTATAATTTTGAGTATCGGCCCATTAGGATACTCGCTTGTTGATGCAAATAGAGGCCCTCAGTTAGGCGTTAAGTTTTGGGGTTCTTTTTTTCTCATTTTGCCGGTTTTTCTGGGATATAGGCTACATGATATCCACATAATATAATTGAAGGATAATTCTGGTGATATTAGATTGATGGAGGCAACGCTTTCTGAAATTGGGTAGTAACATTATATGGGAAATCAGGCCATTAAATTATAACATCTTAATCAGTAAGATATACGGATTCCATCAATTAGACTGGGCTTAGTATAAGAAATCACTGGACTTCCAAAACACAGTACTGTACCTTGACGAACAAGAAGCGTCCTAGCACTCATCCGGTTTTAATGGATGCCGATTTCTACCAAGGAGCCGTTCATTTCGGTGTACCTAGATCTGGCACAAACACATTTGCTCAGGGCGAAGAAGTACTTTTCTCCACATGACCTCCACACGCTGTACAAAGCTCGGATAAGATCTAGCCTCGACTACATGCTAACATGTTTGGGATACTGCAGCCTCGACAACATTATCCATGCTCGATGCTGCTTGGAGGACTTTTTCTAATGGACAGTCTCGGGACCATTTCGCACGGGTGGGCCGTCGGTGATCTAGCTCTCTTCTACAGCTAAGCCAACGGGCGTAATTTGTATATTCATAACTGGCCGATTCGATCTTTCCTTTGTTCCTAGGGTATCAAGATTGTGGAATATTCTACATGAGGAGGCTTATACCAGTTTACTAACCTCAGGCAGGCCAAACAATGTTCCAATGTTTGCTTTAACCTCCTCATAGCAGCCGCTTAGGCAGAATAAATTGTCAGGATTGTTAAAAGGAGCCTATATGCTGCTACTACGCGCCGCTGGCTTATTGTAGATACGATTTCAGAAAGGAGCTGCAGAACAGTCTCTGGTAATAAACTAGGAATTAAAAATCAGTATTAATTCAACTATATAACTTCCAAACGGGCTGAGTTGTCTGGATTACAAGTGGATTCTCTAGTTAATGTGTTAGTGATACTATTTAAATACGACTGATGTTTTGAAACTGTTATTGATATATTTTGGAATTTTTATTAATTTTTTATTCATATTTTCAATATTTTTACTTATACGATTGAAGCTAATTGTTATTATTTATTTTTCACAACTAAGATTATTATCGAATCGAATTTTAAACTTCATACTTGGTCTTAGAGGCTTGTTTGTATTTTTTCGCGGAATACATTAAACTATGCATCCCCAATAAGTCTTTTATTAAATTCCTCACTCTCACATCATAGACCGTCAACGTGGGTATCAAGAAGAAGAATTTCAGTAGCGCCGGTATTGTTGAGATTTACCTTCCAAAAGGTTGTCTATCAAGAATGAATTTCGATAAGGGCAATCTAAGAAAATTGATGGATCAAAAAAACTTACTTCTGAAGTTAGATCGCAATTATATGAAGATATAAGCTCCCCCCATTTAAAAAAACACATTTACGAATTCAAATTCTAGTTACCCTACCCATACGATTGTGTTGGTCGAAGACTTTGAATTGAATGAGGACATAGGCGGAGGGGAAGTGGGGAGGCGGCATGTTGAACTTTTGTCTCTTTGAAATGTGTGACGTACGGCACATCAGAGGCGTACTACGTTGTTCTAATCAAAATCGCAACCATTAAAAAATAGATGTTAAATTCTTAAATGGGTGAAATGGCTGAGATTGTCTTAAATATTTGGCTTTTACTAACAGCCCATATTTGGACGTTCACATACAATGTCCAGCGTTACAGCCACGTTGCCAAGCAGGAACGCAATAATTTTCTTATAATACTACTACTAATAAGGTCCATTTTCTTTTCGAAGAAAATTGTTTATTCTTCAATACATCAATCTTCCAAGAAAAGGTCACCCCTCAATCTCTATCGTGATTATTCTTCACACACATAACCTGCGGCAATAATTTGATCAGTCACATCGCTGGCGCCTAAAGTAGGTAGCCGACACGTACGCACCTACGTTTTTACGCAAGCACAGCTTTCAATTGAATTATGTATCTTCAGATGGAATATATGTTAATCTTAATTGACAAAAAAAAAATAATATTAGGGAACCTGGGGTGGATTTCTAAACCACACTCCTTGAAATGGGATAACAATTCTTCCGCTCATCAAATTTCAGAGGCCTACTGACACGAGAGAAGTGAAGATTGGGTCATTGCAAAAATACAGATAGTAATTGAAAAGAAATTTTAGTGAGACTAGAGTAGTAAGATAGGGTATCGTCGTCAGACGCAGGAGCTCATTTTAGGGCCCTCGGCCAGCGATGGATATTTTTGGCTACATCTAGATACAAACAACCTAAGGTTGCTGATGGGACAGTTCACTGGCGCTCCCACGGGGGAGGTAAAGGGGGTAATTACCCCCTCCACCTCCCCCCTCCCCCCGAAAAACATCTGTAACTTTAAGAAAGGATAGCGGCAACACTGCCAATCCGCTCAGTGCGCATGCGACTAGCAACTACTCTCCCACCAACAGCATCGGTGTACGCTTCGTCCTGTTGGAACAGGTATACTCTAGTCTTTTATGGTCTAGTCTAGTGTTTAAATTCTGTACCAGTCCGGAGTCCGCAACAACATTTGGCTGAGAAGTGAACAAGCGGAGTTTTGTTGATCTGGTTGATATTAACGCTATTTTCTATGTTCTATTGATTTTTTATTTTCCACGCAGAAGATTAATTTTTGTTTTTTATTTAATTTTTATACTATAAAAGAATCGTGTATAAAAAAATGACAGACGGAAAAATGGAAATTTAATATAATTTCAATTTGGTCCATACTCCAGCTTTCGTTATAATCTAAGTCTATGTTGTCTTTGAAGTCCCTGTATATAAGCACTTCAGTGTATTTCGTTCGTCCCAGATGGCAAATTATATATCTAGTTTTTGAAAATTGCGTGAACTTAAGAAATCTTGTTTTCCAAACCGAAAAGGTTCTTTGCTACGAGATACGTAAATGCGTGGAAACCAATAAGGCCGTTTATTTGACAATATTTGTGTAACTTTTAGTGCTGGTTGACGGCTGCTGTTGTCAGGATGAGTAAAAGGAAACAGAATACCATAGATTGGTTCCTTTCTAAACAAAACAAACTGTCTGATCCACCGGCACAAGAATTACCGGAAAAAACTGATGATAATCCTACAATTCAACCTGAGCCTTCCACTTCAAAATTTCTTGATGTTGCACCGTATGCTGAACCAAGTGTTGAACAATCGGGTGCGAAACCTAAAGGATCCAATTTTGTTGATGTTGCGCCATATGTAAATTTCAGCGACAACTTGTCTTCGCATGAAAAATATTTTATTGAGGTGTGCAATGATCCCTAATGACTCTTTCAAATATTCTTATTCCACACATTTGAAAAATAAACACTTTGAGAAATTTCCTTGGCTGTCATATTCAGAGGAACTACAAGGGCTTTTCTGTAAATATTGCGTGGTTTTTGCAAAATTAGGAGGAGTACATAAATCAACTAAATTGGGAAAACTTGTTACCGTACGGCTAAAGAAATTCTCGAAATTGTATGGCAAAGCCGGTCATTGTGAGACACATGAGAACTCAATATATCATACAGAAGCAGTTTCAGATGCTACAAACTTTTTAAAGATTTACGAAAATTCAGAGAATGATATAAGAAATATAATAGGTGCAGACCGAATTAAGCAAGTATCAGAAAATCGGCAAAGATTGACTCCTATAATAGAATCTATATTTTTTTTGGACGCCAAAATATACCACTTAGAGGGCATAGAGATAGGGGACGGCTTTTTTCTAATGACAGCACGAATGACGAGGATGTCCTTAATAATGAAGGGAATCTTAGAGAACTAATACGGTTTAGAGCCGAGAGCGGCAACAATTTATTGAAAAAAAAAACTTAGAGAACTCAAAAGCGCATGCTACGTACATAAGCAGCCGCATCCAAAATGAAATTATAGAATGTTATGGCGAAGAAATCTTGAATATAGTCAGTATTACAGTATTATATTTGACGAAACAACAGACGTTAGCCATAAATCACAAATGTCAATCGTATTGCGGTATTGTTATCAAAAACATATTTACGAGGACTTCATGGGATCTGTGGATTGCTACTCAAATTTTGATGAAGATACAATGGAGCCCAAACTCACAGGTCAAATTCTTGCTCAAACAGTCAAGCATTTCATTAAAACCAATAACTTAGACTCAAAACTATGTGTGACATTTTTGCTGATACGTGTAGTGTAACCTTATGTTAGGTGAACAAAAGGGCGCTGTAATGAAATTGCAAAAATGTGTGCCAAATGCGCAAAACATGCATTGAATCTTTCGATTTCAAAAAGCAGCAGTGTCCAAGCACTAAGAAATACTGTAGGTATAATGAAGGAAGTAATTGCGTTCTTCAAAGCATCCGCTAAAAGAAATACAGTATTAAAAAGAAAACTAGACGGATATCAAATTCATAGTATGTGCGAAACACGATGGACCGAGAGACATGATTCTGTGCTCCAATTTGAAAGCAAATTCGAGAGAATTGTAGAGGTACTAAATATTATATCAAATTGGAAAGACCGCGAAGCTTCTTCAAAAGCGGAGTCTTTGAAGACTGCCATTACTCCCACCCAATTTATCGTATCACTAAAGTGTGTGTGTGATATATTAGCTTTAACAGTCAACCTGAGTAAGATTTTACAATCAAAAACAATTGACACACAATACTCTGTCAAACTCATAGGAAATATTATTTCAGTTGTACTATTCGCATCTATAATGAAATTACATGAAACTGACTGTGAACTGATGTAGTTTCATAGTTTATATGTTTTTGTTTTTTGAGACTGACTAAGAGAATGTAGTTATGCAATGAATATTTTTTGTCTTTTCTCATGATTCAGAATTTTATTTTGATTTACATTCAGTTTTATACTTTATAGAAGTCGTA